TCTCTCGCAACCCCAGCTCCCATCCCCACGTCAATCTCTCCATTATAGCTCTCGTCTCGTCCCGTCCCGTCCCGAACGCAGAGCCGCCTCCGTTGACCCGCCCCTCCGGCGGCGGTTTCCGGGCCCCCCCCCCCCCCCCCCGAAAGAATGGCGGAGGGGGCGATGAAACGGAGCTGCGCAGAGCGAGAGACGGTTTGGCTTACCAGCCCATCGCGTGCTTGCTTTCTCTCCTTTTCTCTGGGGGGGGAGGGGGGCTTTTGCCTTGGTGTCAAATGGACCGACCGACACTCTCTCGTTTTCCCCCTTTTACGGATTCGCTGGGTCCAATCTTGATTTCTGCTTCCTTCTTTTCCTTTTCAAATCGCTGTTTCAGCCGAGATTTGGTGCCGTGAGCTTCTTGGGTTTTCGAGATTCGCTTTCTTGTTTTTGGGTTTTTCGCCTCGCCCCGGTTTTGTGGGCTGTTCTCTCGTGGTGGCAAGTGATGATTTTTCTTGAATCTTATCCTACACACTGATGCACAGTGCTGACTATATTACTCTGCTTATTGTCTGATGCTGCCTCGTGACGAAACCTGAGATGCCGGCGTTCGCTCTTTCTTGCTGTCCCTCGTGCGTTCTCGTGCGATTAGTGTTGTTGTGGAGTGAAATTTTTATGTCGTGCCATGCTATCTTTCAGACCTGTATTGGGTCATCAATGTCGTGCTTTTTTTGTTCAGTTTGGGCAGAGGGAGCTGTTATACTCCTGGCTAATTTGATTCGAAAGCAGTGTAGTGGTGATGTGATGTAGGAGCAATGTGCTTCTGCATCCCTTCGTGTTCATGTACATTTTTCTCTTTTCTTGATTTTATTGAGGGGAAGGCAAATGATGGATAAAAAAGTTACATACACTCTGAAATTTCATGTGGTTCACTTTTCCGCTTATTGTCTGATGCCTATCCTTTCTCAATTTTGCTATTTGCTGCCTGTTTCACTAGCTTTGCTCGTGCCGGGTGGTAAAATTTATCCTTTCTTTAAGCTTTTTGATCTTTACCATCTGGTCCAAGTTTTCAGAGCAACCGAAAAACTAGTAGAGAAATTTACGACCGGAAATGAGATTTTTTTTTAATCAGGCAGATCTGTTTTCATTGTCTTATAATTTCAACTATTTCTTTAATAGAAATTTGCATACCAAGCCTTTGTCTTTTGGCCTTACCTAGGTTTTTGCACTCTGCTTATTGTTGTCAAATGGAAAAACACATGTAAATATGTGGACTTTCACGTAGTACCGAGGATGACAGAAAGCAGACGGGCGGACTGAAGTGATGCCGTGTTGATTGTCTGCAGCTTCCACTTGTGGAATATATCTGAGGTTTTGGATTATAGTTTCAAAGAATCCTTCCAGCATTTACTCATTTCTTTGTTGCCCGTTCCTGAGTCTAATTTTCATTTGGAGCTCCAGAATCTTATGATGTCGATGCATAAACAATTCCATGGAAGCTTTTTTCTGAAAAAATGACAGTGAATTTAATCAGACACGACAGAACGCGAGTGATTTTATTGTCTTTTCTTCTTGCAATGATGAAGTTGCTTTAATTATGTCTGGACATATGATTTTGTCCGTGATTTGATATGCATCTTTCTGAGCAGAAGAATGTTACTCCTTGAATGTTCCTCATCCTGCCTGCATGCGTGTGGAGTTACGCAGAAGTCCACTTGTTAATTCAGGTCTCTTACGATGAAGTTTGAGGTTTCTTGAAAGATGATTTCTGACAATTTGTGGCAGATGATGTGTCTTTTGGGTTGGAGAGACAGGATGCAAGAATGAATAATTCTTTTCTAGCTATTTGAGCTTAAGATCGGGGCTTTTGAGTATTGGGGTGAAGTGTGAGGGATATAGAAGGGAAGATACATCAGGAACGGCGTTGGGATATTCATGCTTGGAGTCTAGGGCGTGGGGCTTAATTTCAAAGTGATCGCTACAGGTGGGCTTAGCCACTTGTGCACAAACTAGTTGAGAGTCGACACCACTCTCCTGAAGATGGCCATGAAGTGATCTACGTGTCTTGCTTGATGAAATAGAAGGTTGTGGTAAGATTAGTTGGCCTGGGTTGCCACACTTGGTCGGGGGAGTACAAGTGACTATAGATTCGCAAGAATCTTTGATTAGCCAGGGGCATTGTAATGCCCCTTCGCATGAGGCCTCAGAAGCGGTGGTGATGGTGCGGAATGCAAGGAAAAGACATTAACAATCAACAATGAGCCTTGCGATAACGGAACATGCGTTTCTGTTGGGCGAATGTTGCAAACAGTTTTTATCAATAGCAGCGACAGAAGATGTGTTTTGACCTCTTGCTGGAGGCAAGATGCACTTGAGTTCACAACAGCGGTGTCAATGCCAAACGATGCGAGAAAGACTCCCAAATTAGATTGGGAGAGAAAAGAACAGATCAAGGCATAGAAAAGAAATGCAGAGCAAAGCTGCGGATGAAGGAGGAGTTTTTTTTTGTTTTTGGGAAGTGAGGGTTGCCGACAGAGAGTTTAGGGTTCTAGAAGAGTTTCAAATTTTGCATTATTATATAACTAGAGTATAGTTGGGTCATGCTATGCTTAGCTTAGCTTATGCCTTGTGGCCCCACCAACTCAGAGGAGCGATAAAGATGCAAGAAAAGAACACCGCCGGCCTAAGGAGGTGCGTTTACTTCATCGCACAAGAGACGAGACTAGATGAGACCGGCTTCGTGGGCTTTATTTCAATTTCAACTCAAAAGACCCAAAAAAATAGAAAATTAAATTAAATAAAATTGACACCCCGCACGAGATCAGTAGAGAAACTGACATTCAATGAAATTTAGGACAAATCGTGGGTCATGAGACCCGATTTTTTTTGTAACTTATGTTTGATCGATTGAGTTGTTATATATATTAGTTATATTCACTAATTGGATCATAAATAGTTTCCGAATAATAAAGCATGAAATAATAATAGTGATTCATAACTTATTTAGATCCAATTTGCTTTTATGACTTTCTATTCACTCTCGCGCTTACTCATTTCTTGCTCTCGCTTGGATATGAGTTTTATAAAACGAATTATATATGGAGATATTTTAGCCATATGGATTGGGTCGGCTCTAGTTGAGTAAGGGTCACTAGATATGTATTACATAAAAATGGGTTAGATGAATTAATTTGAATTGGACTATTCTCAACATGACTCAAACCCTACCTGACACAACCATTTAACGGATAGAGCATATTGCATTGGGTAGGCCGCTTTCTTCATCTACCAAGCTTATCGAAATCACTTGGTGTATCAATGTTTGTAAATCAATCTCACAGCCACTTTTGACAAGCTAGCGGAATCTCTATATCCAAAATCCCGCTTCAAATAGTAATTTATTTAGCACCCCTTAAGGATCAGGATCCGTGCCGTTTTGACCTTACGCTATTTAGCCTAAACTCACTCATGCTATCTCCTATATACACTACTTTATGTTCGTCTACAGCAATTTTTTTTTTTTGGCATATTTCGATCGAATTCTTTTCATAGAAAATGAATAGTAGATCGAATAGAAAGTTATGTAAAAAGAAGTACCTCAGTATCGTTCTTTTGCGGAACGGGTGCAAATACGTGAAATGCGAAGGTGGGGTGGGGGGGGATCGTCCTTCAAAAAGCCGCGTCGACCGTCGACCGTCTTCAGGAATCAGGTGGAGGAGCGCCGATTGGAACGGGACGGGACGCGTAAATGGGAAAACTCGCCGTTGGAACATAATAATCACGCTCAACACCCCACGTTTAACTATTTGATTAATCAATTAATTAAATTGAAAGTCTTATTAGACCCCCACGGTCACCGATACGCGACCAAAGTCCCGTTCCTCGACATCTCAATTGTCAAACCTCAGTCGACGTCAAACTCCAGCGTCGCCTTCCGAGCGGGACCCGCCGCCCTCCGCGTCCTTTCATGGTCAAAAATGGAAAATTATAGCGACTGTGATTTTATTTTGGTCGGAAATAGTAACTGTGATTAGAAAAATATGAATTTATTTTGAATTATTTTTTTTCCTTCAAGATGTGCTCTTTGTTCAATTTTGAAAAGCGTACTGGTACGAGTAACTTGTATTTTTAGCGGTTTTAACTGATACCAAGTATCCCGAGCTTATGTTAACAAGACCATTCTTACATAAAAAGGGTCAAACGTCCTTAGAAGTGCTTAATTGATTTGCTTAAGTAAGGAGATGTGCTGATGAATACCTTAAATGCACTTATTAGAAGTATTTAACAAGAAACGATATGATTTCAAAGTATCAACCATACATGACGAGAAAGCAAAGAAAAAAAGAACCGAAAACTATAATTTTTTTTAAGTGATTACTTAATGAGTAATTTATAGTTGATATTATTAACTCATGCTCTCGGGGCACTTATTAACTATACCTATGGTCATTTTAAATACGCCGATCATGAGACAGACATTCTCCAAGTCGGTAGCCAATGAAAGGAAGATGTCAAAAAAGTACTTCTAGAACGCTTTATCGAGTGTTCATAATACATGCTTTGGAAGCGTAGAATTATACATTTCAAGTAAATCGCTTCCTTAAAATTCGCACGTCTTCAATTTTTCAGAATATCGTAGAAACTATTATCTCTAATATTAATTAATCTAATATAAAGATCCTTATCATTACCAAGATCCTTTAACAAAATCCTTTTCACAACACTAGTCTTTTAGCTATCAACCCCACTGGGCAGTGGGCACTAACCTTAGCTTTTACCTCGAACTGGGAAGAACCATCATAGGTGTCGGAGCACCGCGTGAGATGTTACCATCTCCTTAATTTCTACGAAAGCCTACACCGCCTGATGATGATTTCTTGCAAAACCTCGCACGAACAAATCCAAAACTAACGAACTTTTGGCGAAGTTTCAAGATCGCTAAAGGAAAAAGCACACCATTGTCAAAATCTTGACCATCTCTCTGTCCAATAATTGACAGGGCCACCCACCCGACAAGTCTACCATCCTTAGCTTCAACAGTGTTCAGAATCTCTCTCTGTCTGTTTCTTGAGCTTCTTCTGGTTCACCAAGAACGACCCATCATCCTCCTCTGCTCCTGCAATGGCCACCGACGGACATCAGTTGCCCACGGCGGCCGCGGCCGCGGCCTCGACCGGGTCGAAGAGGGAGAGGGCCGGGGAGAGCAGGCTGTTTGGCAAGAGCACGTACAAGTTCTGGGTGTTGGCGGCCATCCTGCTGCTCGCGTTCTGGTCGATGCTCACCGGCTCCGTCACTCTCAAGTGGTCGGCCGGCAACCTCGCCAGGTTCTCCGCCGACTTGCTGGATTCGCCTTCCTACGAAGATCTCGACATCTTGGTACTCTCTCTCTCTCTCTCTAACCTTCCTTTTCTTGTTTTCTGGGGGTGTGGTGTTGTTGTGGAAGTTGATGTTTTTTATTCTCGTTTGGGTTCGATAGGAAGTGGAGGAGAGAGAGAAGGTAGTGAAGCACATGTGGGATGTGTACACGCAGAGCAAGAGCAGTAGATTGCCCAAGTTCTGGCGGGACGCCTTTCAGGCTGGTTATGAGTTCTTGACGAGTGATGCGCCGGGTGTTCGCGACGTCGCCGTTTCTGAGATCGCGAAGATGTCCCTTCGCTCCTTCACTTTCTCCCACCCTCTCGCTGGTCATTCTCATTCTGTGGTAATTCATCCTCGGCCTTTTTTATAATGCTTTCGTCGCCAGCATCATTTGCTTGGAGAACTTTTAGTGCTGAGAAATTGGGCATTTTTTGTGGAAATTCTGGGAGTTTGGTCGCTGACTTATCCTTTTAGAGATTGGATGGAAGTCATGAGTTTATGAGGTCTTTGTTTTTGTCATCGAGCCCTCTCTGGACAGATGAATTGAGGGCTTGCTTTGATTGATATGGATTTGTGATGACTTAAGCTTTAAGCTGTGAAACCGCTGTTTTCATGACGTGGCAAATAGTTTAGAAACTGAGATGTATTGATGCTTGAATTTGGATGATTTCTGTCCGAATTCAGCAATTATTTCTCTACCTTCAAAGAAATAATACTCGTGTCTCGTCCGTGTCAAATGGGAAATCTGAATCCTACCTAAGAAGTACACGGTCGATCTAATGATTTTCATTAGGTGCTCCAGGAGCATTGTTCTGGTGCTCCAGGAGCGTATAAGAAATACTAATTAAAACTTTTTTTTTCTGTAGGTAGGTCAAACTCATTGTAAGTTCAGTGGATTCATGTGTTTGCAGGCATTGTAATTGTTATACCCTTCATGTGCCAACTGTCTTATCCTTTTTCTTATTCCTACTACTAGTCCATTGTTCTTTGACATTCTGTTGAGTATGCAAATTTTACGTCGCAATCTGATCTGGTTGATGCGTACAGGTTACGCTGTTAAATGGGCTTTCTATTTTGGCTTATTCTTTGGCTTTTGTATTTTGTATCATCCCGAGTGTGTAATTATATAAAACAATAAATGGACTGGAAGATCTTGTTGTCCTTATTATCATCTGCTGGTGTTATAACTCCATATTTTTGTTAAACTTAAAGTTTTAATATGTAAGACTGCTAGCTATTTGTTTGTGAACTTAGAAGGAAGAGAACTTGATGCATGAGTTACCTGTGAAGCAAGATCTTCCGGCATCTGGACCTTGATAAAAGATCAAGCAAATTTTTGTTTTGGCGTGATGCTGGAAACTATGGCTCTGCTGCTGTTAGTATAAGATCAGTATATGTCCATAATATGCGGGCTACTAAATGGTCAATGTGATTTCCATGTCTTTTTGATTGCTTGTATCGTTTTTCTGATCAAGTACTTTTTCTTGGAGATGCTATGGTGGGAACGTAGTGATTACTAGGGAGATTTAGGGCCTTAAACTGAAGAATCTGATCTTGGCTGCACATCTTCTATTTTTTTCTCCTCTGGGTAGCAACAAATGCTTTCTTGTTACTCTTTCTTAGACAATGAGGTTAATTGTGGATTATAGTTATGACTATTTGTAAAGTTACTCGATTACTGTTGAAACGATGCCTCATTATTCTTAAAACGTGAAGGACAGTTCCAAGAAGATGCATGTTTCTGATGATTTTGCTTCTGAATCAATTCGATTCATAAACTGAGTGAACTGATTCTCCATCTTGTCTTGTGCAGAATAACCACAACCAAAGAGAGACTTCTGCGATAACGGCTAAAACTGGCAAGGGTGCTTATGTTGCAAGGATTCTATAACTAGAATCTCTCTTCTGCCTCATTGGAATGCCTGACTAGCTGCTTGTGGTTTTTACTGAAGATGGCAATATACCTGATCACACCCATAAAATCCATCGTTTGGAGGTAAATAATCCACGTGGAATACACTACTACTATATCGGAATCCCGTGTTCTTGTACTGTACTTCCATTCTTTCAGTCGGAAGGCAATTACGTCGAGCTTTGTATGAGCTTATGCTGAACTAGAAAGCCCATGAAGATATGGGTTTCAGTTTACATTACATGTATGTATGAGTGACTGTCTCCGGAGTTTCATCCGGAGATCAGATGCAATAGATACTTATGTTTAGTCCATGAGAATTTTGCGTGCATTGTTTTGTTTTGCCGTGAACGTTGAGTTGTCTTTCCCCCTCTGTTCTAAAAGCGACTTAAAGTTCCATGCAAAGATCAATGGAGTCATGAAAATTGGTTATTTATACTGAGTACAGACTGGAACGCTTCAATCCACATATGCTCCTCGTAAAGCTAATCTTTTGACTAGAAAAGAGGAAATATTAAGAATCGGGATTGGTACCGATGCTCATGAGTCGCCCCTTTTGCTTCGTGCATTGCCATCACCGCTGGCAAAGCAACACGCAATCTCTTCCTTTTAAGCCACCCTCCATACTCCTTGATGATTGTAAACCTAAGAGACAATGGCACAAATGGTTCATGAGTTTTGACTCAATGTGCAATGTGGTCTATGACTTTAAATTTGTTCAATATTATTTATGAACTTTAACTCAATGTGCAATGCATTCTTTGTATTTTTTATTTGTTCAATATAGTTCCTAAGCTTTTGGTATATGTTCAATCTAGTCCCTGAATTATATAAAAATGTTCAATAATATCTCTGAACTTGAATCAATGTAAGAATAACATCGAAAATTTTCATACAGTCCAAAAACTAAATTAAATAGGTACTAGAAATTCAAGAATCACATTAAACAAATTGAAAGTTTAGGGATGATATTGCACTTTGGGCTAAAGTTGAGGTATCATATTAAACAAATTAAAGTTCAGAAATCACATTATATATTGGATCGAAACTTAGGGACCATTTGTGTCATTTACCCTAAACCTAATTAGGCAAAAGTGTTGACGTCTCATTTGATTAACTATTCCCTGGGAAAGAGAAGTAGGTTTTATTTCAATCCGCATAGCAAAAATGAAAACAGAAAGATCAAAGTAACAAATTGCTCTCGAGGAAAGAGAAAATGGCGTGAAGAATTGAAAATGATTGACATTAATCATACTGACAAAATTTTGTAAAGAAGCTGATACATGCATCCCCATGAAATGCCAACAAGCATCAAAACTCATGCCAACAACTTAGCAAGTTCATCAACCCTCAAGCTTCCATGGGGTAACACATTCAAGGGGTGTTCATCCAAATCTTTTTTCCTTAGAATTTTTGGATTTTTCTGCTTGTTTCCCCTCTCTGTAAATGTAGAAGAGGGTACGCTTTGGGTATCAACATTTCCATCTTCGACCTTCACAATCTTCTTGGACACAGCTCTCTTAGGTCGGTGCCTAAAAATTGGGCCAGGTGGAGCAATCTTTGCAAAAGCAACCGCCCTTTGGTAAGCAATGTCAGCATCAAATGAGTTAGTATCCAAGATAAGTGCACTGCCGTTCTCGACAGCCTGCCTTAACAGTAAAAGCACTTGTCCCGTGCAAGGTGACATTGACCTAGTTGGTTGAACTTGATCAGGCAAAGCTTCCGAAACATTGTGCACTTTCTCTGTTTCCACCATAGTCTCAGATTCTTCCGCAACAACATCAGGCATAGCAGCAGCTGCATTGATGCTCTTTGCATCTTCTGATTCATCTGCTTCGCTGCTTTCGCTGCCTACAGTGATTTTATTTCCATCAACCTCCCTCAAAATTGAATCTACATCAGTAACTCCATATACCTCGTTTTCTTGAACAAAAGGAGGACTGGCTTTCCCAAGAACTTCCTGTTTTTCATCTTGTTCTGAGATTACAGGAAGAGGAGATTCTTCACATGCACGATCAGCACTAGATGCATTATCCTTGGAAGAACCTTCAGGAGTTGGAAAGGAAGACTTCCACTCTCTTCCTCTCCACATAAGTATGTGCTCATATTCAAATGAGATTAGCACACACGGGACTAGATCCTGGAAGTGAGGAACATTGAACAAACATTGAACAACACATCTTAAACATCAACACAATTATACATAAGTATACAGAATATATCCCACTAGAGATAACACAGACCTTGAGTTTCGCACCAATTTTCCTATAATCACTGCCATTCATCCCTTGGCAATTTATTCTGACCAATTCGCACTCTTCAAATGCCTCTCTAACATTTTGCACCAGGTCACAGTAGACACCATTTTTACCTGTAAAACATATGTATCAACTTAATAGTTAGTCCGCTGGTGCATAAAATGATACTATTCAGTCTTTTTTAGCGAGCGTCAACAGCCCAATGGTTTCCAAAGGTAATTCTTCTCCACCAATCCCAACAAGGTTCAATTAAAGTCTTGGCCTAGCCCTTGTATTGCAAATAGAGACCTTTTTCTTTGACCTATCAGAAGCACAGCTATAATATATATATATATATATACCAAGTTTGCATATGGGTATCAGCATCCGTCCCTTCCTGCGCATCTCTGTAGCTTCTTCCAGTGTTAGACCTTCTGGAACCCTCTTAATTAACCTTGGATACACAGGAGTAACAGGTTTCCACAACATCAGTGGAAAGCGAGGACGAGTTTTGTAGTTATAGTTTCTGCCCCTGAAAAGGTATAGTACCCCTCCTTTACTGTAAATGATCTTCCCTCCAGTTCGCTCCTGTCCATTCATGAAATTGAGGAAAAAATATGTCAGAGTGCACATCAGACAAGTGCACTAAGAACCTCATGTCATACAATTCCGACCCGTGTCGTCAGTGAGACATATGGGTGGTCGTCAGTGAGATGTATTGCCCTATGATAAAGATAGCAAAGAATGAGAAGAGCAAATAGAATGACTCCCAAAATTAATACATATCTGATCACCAAAAACTTTTTAATGAAAGAAAAAACTTCAGCTATCGCAGTGACTAACAGCTTTGCATAAAACATTTACAAACAAACTCCAAAAGCAAAAGCATGCAAGAAAACACATGAGCGAGGACTGAGATGACAGGTGATAGTGAGAGAAGAAGCAACCTCCAGCTGTTGTTTCACATTGTCCATGTCTACTGTACAAACTCCTTTGCATTTTATCTTGCACACTCGGCGCCGCTTCCAGTGAGCATGAATGTTATCCAGCATATTGTGAGTCAAACCATCCCTACCTAGACACATGTCAAAAAGCAAACGCATCCGTATATAACTACACCTTCAAAGAAAACAGAACATCTAACAAGGTTTGTCACAAACAAAATTCTCGAGTGTCCCACTTGCAGTTGCCTTTTCTAATCCACAAACTCTAAAGTTCAAAACACCAGGTTCTGATCTATTTGAGCACCATATGCATAAGACCATTTAGCATTCACAAGGTCCCACTTCGAAGGAGAGAAGCACAGAAAATTTCTCTTCCTTAATGCTCCGATTCACCAGAGGCTTTTAAAGGGATAAGGTAACTTGGGAAAAACCGAAAGAAGAACCATGATCTTAAATATACTGATGATCACAACCCAAACCACTACATAAAGTTTGCAAGAAAGGAAGAGGCAATATGCAAGCACCGTCAGGCACTGCCTACAAGCCCGTTATAAGACTGAAAGTCCGGCAAATATGCGCTACTGCCAGAAGCACAAGCGAGACCGCCATTAAATATAACAGTTGAACCAACCAATATCTTCAACAAGAATGAAAAATGCACCACACAAGCAAGACCAAAGAGCAAATCACATAGCAAAGCGTACCTATATTCAGTTGCCTCTGAGACTTTATACACCCATTAACCAAATCCCTCACCTCTTCCTCCGTCAATGGCTCCCCCAATATCTCCTCCCTCGTCTTCACATACCTGGGCCCCCTGCCCGGCAAGAACGGGCCAGGCGACTGAACCGGCTTCACCCCTTTCTTTCCAGGCGGCGGCAACCGAAAAGAATCGAATTCCTTCAGCTTCTTCTTGCTCGGCGGCAGCGGGGCGCGCCCCGTCCACGGCCTCGACATGGTAGTGGGCCCGAAAGGGGCATAAGGTGCTTCTCGTAGCTTCAATGGCTTCACCTTCGGCGTCTCCGTGTAACTGTACTTAAACTCAAACGGAGCCCCGTCTATAACATAAGACAACCCATCCTCACTCAACACAACGTCAGCCTTCCTATCAACTGGGTCTTCACGAGCGTCAACTTTCTTCTCTTGGGTTCTTCGGGTCTGTGAAATCCGCCTAAAAGCCGGGTGTTGATCCTTGGAGTACTTAGATTTCTTACCCGGAATCGAAGGGCTCGATGGAGAAGACGGCGTGCCTCTGGAGTGGAAGGTGTCCGGCGAGTTGGGAACGGTAGCGGCAGCGTCGCCGCCAGCGGCCGCATCGTCAACATGGGCAATCCTGGTGGCGGAGTTGAAGCGGCGCTCGCGGCGGATGTCGTCCTCGATCTCCTGCTGGGCCCTGCGCCGATCGTTGAACCGCTCGGCGTTGGCGTTGTTCCACCGGGAGAAGCGGACCTCCGTCGGCGGCCGGTGCGAGGCCGCGTTCGAATTGGGAGCGGAGCCGGGGTTCAGCGACGGCGGCGCGAAGATGGGGAACGGAAGAGCGAACTTCAGCGCCATTTTCCTCGGGGGGGGCGAAAGCTCAAGTGAACGGGAGCAGAGGCCCCTCGATATCGATTACGCCCGAACAGGATGGCGCATCGTGACTTCGTACGCGAATTGCAGCAACAATTCAGCTGGGCACCTCAGTAGGAGTTGCAGAGAACCATGGTGCAGAGACGTGAGGTAGTCTCTGCGAAGAGGAGGAAGAAGAAGAAGATGGGTCGCTTGAAAGTTCAGAGCCTGTGGCTTCAGTAGCCATTAGAGAAACGTGTGGTGGGCTTAGCGTTCGAGCTTTCTCACGTTTCTCTTTCCAACATATCTTTTAGGCCCAACACTATTCTCGCAGTCTTCTTCTTCTTCCTCGGTCCTTTTGCCTCCTTGCCAGGCTCTGAGCTTGGAGATGTTTTGGGCTTGAATAGTTTTCGCTCCCCCCAACCCAACCAACCCCTCTTCCCCACGACGATGTGTGATGGCAGTCAAAACGGGGGGCTCTCCGTGAAGGTCGCGTTCGCGCAATGCTCAGCACGAAACTTTGCGCGGGAGGTTTCGCGCCATCTTTCGGAGAGGTTCGTCCCCTCCATTTAAGCCGAGCGTTCGTCCCTACCTCTTCTTCAGCAGCGTCGTTCCTGAGCTCTTCACTGCCCAACTGCTTTCACACCCATCACCGTATTCTTCAGCGACTGAAAATGGTGGAGAACGTGACAGAGATCGAAGGGCCGTGCCCCAAGATCCCGAAGATCCACGAGAATGGGGCCGTGGGAGCAGCCGCCAAGGAGCCGGTCTCTCTGCTCAGGGTGAAGAAGCTCTCCGAGAAGGCCGTCTTGCCATCGAGAGCGTCCCCTCTCTCCGCGGGCTACGATCTTTCGAGGTAAAAAACGGGGTCCTTTCCTTAGAGCTTCGAGTTCGTCCTTGATGAGAAATCTCGATGGTTTCTGAATGTGGGTTTCTTCGTTTGTGGATGGAAAAACAGCGCGGCTGAGACGACAGTGCCGGCGAGAGGAAAAGCGCTCGTCCCTACCGATCTGAGCATCGCGATACCGGAAGGGACATATGCTAGAATAGGTAACGTGCACTAACTTCTTTCCTCGAAACACGCTCTCCATACCTTGTATTGGGTTGTCGACGAGGGCTGAACCGAATCGCTTGCGCATTTTTTCGCCTTCAGCGCCGAGATCGGGTTTGACATGGAAGCATTCGATCGACGTTGGTGCGGGGGTGATCGATGCGGACTACAGAGGTCCGGTTGGGGTGATCCTGTTCAACCACGCCGACGTCGACTTCGAAGTGAAGGTGGGCGACAGGATCGCGCAGCTGATCATCGAGAAGATCATGACCCCCGACCTCATCGAGGTCGAGGACTTGGACTCAACTTTGAGGGGCGAGGGCGGGTTCGGGTCGACGGGGGTGTGAAGCCTTGTGCTTGGTTTCGGCTGTTTACATTGTTCTCTATTTGTTTGTCGTCAATGGGTTTTAGGACGTGTCTTGTCTAGGATGCACGCAGGTCTGGTAGGAAGATTTTATCTTTGGTTGAGGAATTTCGTCGAACAGTAGGTGCGTAAATATCTGCCAATGGCTATGTGCTCAGCTACGCTTTTGAAGTTACTCTCCTTGTGCTTCAACATATGACTGGACAACTGTGGTGGGAGTGAATGCTGTGTACCTTTTCATCATTGTGCTTGCACGTTGATTTGGTTCGTGCGTATTACTTTTTTAGGTGTGTTTGTTTAATTGAAAATGTAACGATTTTGAAAAATGTTTTTCGGAAAATTACTTTTTAGGAAAAAGTTAATTTTCCTTTATTTGGTGATACGTAATCGAAAACATTTTATGATATTTTGAGTTTCATTTGGAAAATGATTTCGATCCCATGATTTTATTTCAGAAAAAAAAATTAATTTTTAAAATTAAAAAAAAAAGGAAAAAGAAAAAAAAAGAATAAAATATTTAAAAAGACAAGGAAAGCAATTTCAAAAAGCATTTTTACCTTTTTAGATTAGAGAATTCATTTTCCTAATTTTATACATAAATATTTTCCTTGATCGGAAAGTGTTTTCCATTGACTTATTATTTTCGGCGAACTAAACGGGTTAAAGTCCAAAAAACGAATTCTCAAAAAACACTTTCTTCGAAACAAACACATCCTTAATGTGGATTGCGAAGTCGGAAATTGGGGTTTCTTTTGTTGGGCTACCGGCAATTGCTGGTGCCAGGATCCAGTTTAGAAAGTACCATCCCAATGTGCATTTTCCTCTTGTAAATAACGAGGCCTCTCTGTGTAGTAATTATCCATATCTGACACGACCGATGCACGGTAATGGTACATGCACATGCCATTCCTTGAACTTGACAGCAAGTCACAGACCACAAGACTGATCACTGCATTCCATCTCAAAACACGAAATCTGTTGCTTGCCTGATTATTTGATCAATTTGTCAGATGGATGTCATTGGGTCACTAGAGATGTCATTAATTATTTGCCTATGCTGGCAAAATTACTTGAAAGTTCAAAATGTTTCAAGTACGAGGGTCTGTAACACGTGAACACATGATCCTCAAGTCCAGAGGAAGAGATCATTCAGAAATACAGAAGCGAAATATCTCATTCGATTTTGATGGATTCCCGTCATATCCGAGGCAACAGAGTTGGGGGATCAGAGGGCAACATCTGAACTTGCCTGCAACAAAGAAGCAACTGTTAGTGCTGCTGAAGTTCGAGCGATATTAGCCTCTGAACTTCTACATCTGCTAAAGTAGTCCGGAAGATGCGGACTTCTCTTTGCGTGGATTTAGGAACTTTTGCAGGAAACAGATGAAATAGATCAATTGCTGCTACGCTATACCTCCAGATATCTTGTCATCATTGTTGTAGTACTGCAATTGAAGCCTTCAACTGGTTCTCCTTTCACACGAGTTGCGTGAAGTTGCTTCCTCACTTGAGTTGCCAGGGACTGCAAAGACAATGAAATTAGGCTCATGGAGGAACCTCTGGCAGTTCAACTTGCCAAGTGAAGAGACCGCAAATTACATGTAATTGGATCTTATTACAAATAAAATGATGGAAGGCTAGGCTTCTTTGACAGTAAGGAATAACAAGGATAATATTCTCTAGTTGGTGCATACCTTTCCTAACTCAACTCCCCACTGGTCGAAGGAATTGATGCCCCATATGAAACCTTGCACAGCTACTCTATGTTCATAGATCGCCAGTAACTGAGGAATATTATCGTTTTGTTGAAGGTTAGCCAAATAGTACATAGTGTACACAATTCAGCAAGGATAAGAGACAAGCAGGGAATGGAAATGTAAGAGAAAAATAGGGATCTTTGCAAAGAATGGAAAGACGCAGAACCTTCCATAGCCGAAATGTACACACAAGGTCATGGACAAGGGTCAGTTACTATACAATAAGAATTAGCGCAGTAAATCACATTTCTGTTTTGTGCGACTACTATGTCATGGACAAGGGTCAGTTGATCCCATACAATTTTTTACTTGCTTTTGGGGACTTCGTTAATAATTGGTAGCATCTTGAGTTAGTGCTATACACACATCTTTTGAGGTGCTTTCTCGTCATCAAAAAAGGAAAAAAAGAAGCACTAAGTTATTATCTCAACTACGAGAAGATAAGAGTAAAAATTTCGAGAAATTCAAAGAAACGTCAGCAAGGAAGTAAATGTATGGAAGGACTTCTCTTCTCCATTTAACAAACTGGCAAAGGCAGTGGAAACAACTTGAGTACTTAGTAATGTGAAGTATCGAACTTTATATTGAGAAACAGAAGATTTTGGTCAAGAAGTATTCTATTTCTAAATCCGGAGTCCTTAGAGAGATCAAAGCAATCAGATATCCGAGACTGCCATGTAAAGTGCAGGTCACAGATAGAAAGACTCTAGGTTGGCTTAGCAACAACCCTAAGTCATAGAAGTAAGCAAAATGGTAGTCCATATAGAACGCAAATATTGGAATCTTTCATCTGCAACTCATTGCGGCATATATAATGTTTACGTTGGACTTAACAGATAATAGTTACATGAGGGCATACATTTGAGAGAGAGAGAAGGATTAGTTTATGTTACTGGAAGTGTTAACCATTGCTCAAACAAAGCTTCAAACCAGCCAATGACGTCTCGAAAGCAGGGAATTACAAACCTGTCCAATGTTATAGGCAGTCAGGGATGGGAGCAGAAGACTCAGAGAAGGCCTATTACCCGTGAAAGTCTGCAGGAAGAAAAAAAAGCAACAGTCAAGACAAGCCCTGGATTGCAAGAACAAGATTCTGCGAACTTACCTTATGAGGAATAAGATGATGAGGAACGTTCTCCCTTCGTAACTGTTCTGGGGTCTACGCCATACCAAGAAGTGGTTAGACTTCACTTTCGCTAGCAGAGACAATAACTCCAGAAAATGTTCAAAAAACTCTAGAGATAACACACCTTCCCATATGCTAGGGCATCTGGTTGTGCAAAGAAGTTCGACATGAGCTCATCATGGTTATTCACCACTTCACCTAAACAATCGACCATTCCAGTTAGTGCAAACAAATGAATGGATATCAATTAAAGTAAAGGAAGCTTCATCTAACATTGTCATTGTTACCTTTGAGGTAGACAGGTTGCTGACTCTTCACAACGCCGATAAAATCGCAGGGAATAACACGACCCTGAAAGTCAAATATATTGCCGTACAGAGTGTTAACATAAGATTCCATATTTCACTTTTCCAGTAAGGTAACTGATACAAGAAAAAAGGGGTACCCTTTCACAAAAGTTCAAAAAAGGGAAGCTCTAATCAACTCTGTCCATGACAGAAATTTACAGAAAGAATGGTTTTGCGATGACCAAAAATTACACTAATAAGGAGGGAAAATTTTTCCAATTGAAAATAAGCATCGAGATTACAATGGGAAGATTACAAACATGAATATCACCCACATTTAATTTTATTAAATTTAAAATCTACGTGATGGGCATAACTTGTAACCCTCAATTAGAGGCATAGAATGGAGGGAAATACGGCCCAAAACCAAAATTAACTAAAGAAACAACTCAGAAATTTAATTTCCTGTAAACACAATGCAGACATCGATCTAAATACATTGCAGTACTGCTTATGCCAATGAGATAATATTAACCATCGGTTACCTGGTGAATTAGTTGGTAAAAACTATGCTGCCCATTTGTTCCTGGTTCACCAAAGTCTATTTCGCCGGCCTCACCTGGAAGTGGCACACCATCTATTGATACCCCCTTGCCATTACTCTCCATGCTGACCTACATTATGACAGAAACATGGCATCTAAATAAGCAGAGATCAATCTCCAAGGGAAATATAACTGAGCAAAGGGCTTATTATTATGCCTGTTGTATGTGCGGGGCAAATTTCTCCAAGGCTTGAGAGTATGGTAAGATGGCCTGCACAGAAAATCAGAAATCAGAAAGTGAAATGTTTATAAATTTGACCAGAAAACAGTTAAGATCCTAGGCAGAGCAAAGGACACTCACTCTTGCTGGGTATCCTAGAAACGAAACATTCCAGACGCTCAACAAACCTAAAATCACCTGAATAACAGAAAGTCACCAGATTTTACCTCAAGATATCTGTAAGATAGTATCAATGTGGACCTTGGAGGAAGGCCACTAAAAACTGGATATAAAGTTAGGCAATTGACAATTGTAATAAAATAAGTTCTATTGGAAAAATGAAGTCTATGTTGCTAGCAAACTTACAGGTATGTTCTTGTCGAATGGTGCCGAATAGAAATGCTGATCAATGCTTTGAGCTCCCTTCAAGAACCTTAAAGCAATGGCAGGATGTTAACCACATATTAAAGGACACATACAGAGATGTCAGTACTTGAGCAGATTTGTGAGAAGTCGAATCATCAAATTAGAGATATTATAAGTAATAAGCATCACTGAAGTAGTTGACAGGAGAAAGTTTGACAATAGACCGTTCTGCTGTTGAACTCAAATAGGATACTTGATACTTTCAAACCTCAAGTTTCAACTTCTAAATTTAGGTGATCCACTAAGCTAAGATTGGAGAAGTGATACTAGTTGCTGTATTTAACAAAGAGAGATCTGCAATTCATGGAAACAGAATCTGATGGATAAAGAAGAGAAAGAACTGCAGGATTTCAAGACCAACTCAACCAACCAGAAAAATCTGCTGCAATCGCCCACAGAAATTACACAAAAGTCAAAACTCAACAGAATTAATCTTGTTGAAATGATAGCATTGATGCTTCTTATCCTCTTCTTGGGGAAGACATTTTGGGGAAGGAGGGAGGTAAGGTCATTGTCTCTACAACTTACGTTTCAACATATCCTAAGATCAAGGGTGATATTTGGGTGTGGGGATCCAGACATTCGTTACTGGCCTAAAATAACTATAACATGAGCAGAAATCATCACTGACTCACTACAGAACTCTACATAATAAAAGTACTCGTCATACTTCTCAACAATTGGGAAGCCATATTGCAGCGATAAGGGCAATACTCCAACAGCACTGCAAACTACAGAGAGATGTCAAATATCAGTAAACATGAGCAATTCTAGCAGTAGCTAATGCAGCATATAAAGGCAATAATACTTACCACTGTAACGACCACCAACCCAGTCCCAGAATGCAAAAGCATTGTTAGGATTGATGCCAAACTTTTCAACAAGCTGCATATTAGACATGAAATGCTTGTCATTTGGTCAAGAGATAGATGAGAAGCCATCACAATTAACAATGTATATGTTAGAACTGCCATTGAAAACCATTTTCTAGTATGTATACAATTTATATAAAATAGTATTTGGAAATAGACTTAAAAGAGAGGAGATGATTTCAACATGCTCTAGGTCTCATTAATTCATCTTGATCTAGAAAAAGAGATCAAGGTAATCCATCGAACATAATTTAGGGAAACGTGAAGTCACCTCAAAAATGCAGGAAACAACCAGTCATTCCCTTGTGGAAGGTCAGGATTGTAACAAAGTATCAAGTTTTGGCAACGTAAAGTTTTTAGATCATGTAAAGTTCTTAGACCAAGAGAACCATGGGGTCCACTAAAGCAGGTAGCTACTTTAAAGACAACAAAAGAAAAATCACCACATGTTCGGATGCAAAAATAAGCATAACGGAAATGCACATAAAACGAGATGGAATATGTGAATAACGGGAAAAGAAGAGGAGCTCAGTTAGGCAAACATACAGATGTAACCTTATGAAAAATGAATATGAAGAGCAGAGAGAGAAAGCAATTTGCTGGTTAGAGATGGCAAGCTATATGTCACCTATATGCATGGGATGGTAGAGAATTGATACCGGGAGATTAGTACTGACAGCCACCATATGCTTCACAACTGCAGAAGGCCTGTGAGAGCAAATTCAATTCAGTAAATACTGAGAGAGAGAGAGAGAGAGAGAGAGAGAGAGAGAGTCATTTTATTTACAATAGTTTTTGTTCATCAGTAAAAACCTGAAGACTAGAAAATAGAAAATTATTCAATCAGATGACAACCTAGAAGAGTTCCAAAAGAACTTAGTTCTTCAAAGAAGAAACAGGAGAGTTTCTCTTTCGCTCCGATTCCTGAATGTGAAAGACTCTTTACCGAGAAACTTCAAGAGTAGCAGAATTACTCCTGAAATTGCTTCCTTAGGAATGAGTAATACTAGTGTATGGAACTTACCCTAAAGCAGCGGAAATCCACTCTCTCAAAGTCCGAGCATTTAGCATGGTTTCTGCTGTGGTAAAGGTCTTCGAAACCACGACAACTACCATCAAAAGACAAATTCTCAATGAAAAAGCTATCCTAATGGATAGAAAACCATAAGGAAATGCATATGGATAGATTGTTTATTACCAAGTGTAGTTTCTGGACTTAAACCCGAGGTGTTTCTTGCTACATCAATAGGGTCAACATTGGCAAGACTGCCCAGAAAAGATAATTACATCAAATTTTCAACACATAGCATGTCCGATATACTGTAACTATGGTAAAATTCGACCTAGAAAGAGAGAGTACAATAAAATCTATACAGCAGGTAAAATGGCCTCAGAGTAGAAGCCACACTTGCTCAGCATATGTGCACAGTCATATAGTTGTCCATTGGCTAATGTCATCGTATTGAGCTGATCCTGAGAGTGCTTTTAATGTGTCAAAACTATCTATGGCGCATCCTACACCATCACCATAAACAGAGCATTTTCAAAGGAATGACTGGTGTAATCTGATTTCCATTTATTTTTACAACAATAATCCTCCAACGTCGAAGCTGAAGGTGGAGGAGATACGGCCATAAACCAATGATATCGGCAACAAATTCTACACTGAAACAATGATTGCCTGCAAGAGACACCATTTTCTTTTCACATGTAAGTGATTGGTACTTGAATATATACATTTCGTATTACACCTGAAGGTGTAGTTAAAGTGCGATCATTGAAAGAAGATTCGCAATCAGCTGCATGATCCATACACTCACAAGTACCAGAACGCCATGAAAGTGCAACACTATGCATGTTTCTGCATGCACACAACAGGAATACTTACAAGCGCAGCTGACGTCCTCTTGCATGCTCACTGGCCTCAGGTTCTGCGAATTATTACAATATAGCATCAGCAGAATCTTTCGTTGGTGTCATAGAATGCTTAATATTGTCAAACGGCAACTGGAAACCGATAGTAACCAATAGGGATTATGATAATAGCAGTCCTAAAACTTGTGTCGATCTGACACTTAAGTCCTAAAGCATTCTTTTTCGTGCATCTAATTCTAAAACTTTTCACACGAGATGCATTTCAGGACTTCCATTAAGTCCATCTGTTTTTTGTGGACGAAAAATCCTATGTGGCTTATCATTTTTTCAATCTTATGTGGCTGTTAGTCACAAAACGACGTTTCTTAGCGCTGCATCAAGAATTTTTTTTAAAAACCCAAAATAAAAATTTTAAAAGAACTTAAAAACTTTTTCTAAAAAGAGATTGAATCATTGCAGGGGCAAGTGGACAGAGGGGCTGTGTGCCAGCCCCTCCTTCATTGGCGAGGCCCAAAGCCCCTCACTGGGGTATCAGCCAGGGTCTCCCGCTTGCGGCAAGGGCGGCCAACCCTCACCTTTGGCCAAGGCCGGCCACCCTTCCTGACACTCGATGTCAGCAAGAGTGGCTGGCCCTCGCCAAAGTACAAGGCCCGCCCTGCTGTAAACCCCTTTCCTTTCTCTCTGTCTTCACTCTTTCTATTTTCTTTGCCTCTGATCAGGCGAGGAGCAACAGTCCTTGCAGACACCCTGGTGAGGGTCGCCAGCCATCACCAGCAAAGGAGGGGGTGACGCCGCTGGTGTCTGCACAAAGCAAACCCATTGCACCCCCCCCCCCCCCCCCCTTTCCGCCATGAGCTCCCTTCTCTCCCTCCCATTCTTTTTACTGTGGTCTTTCTTTTTTTTTTCCCCTGATGTGGCACCAAATCCGTCGGAAAGAAGAACAATTAATGAAATTGCCACGTGATTTTCCGTCCAAGGAATGTTAATGAAGGTCACTGAAGTCCTGAAATGCACTTCGTTTACAAATTCTAGGACTTAAGTGCCGACTCCGTACAAGTGTTAGGACTCCTACTGTCATTATCCTTAATCCATCATTAAACCAACCTGTCTGGAGAGCTGTATGCACAAACAAAGGACCAAGGAAGCTTCCACCAATACCAATGGATATTACATCTTTCAAAACTTTACCAGTGGCGCCAACCTATCATATAGTGTCATTTAGCTTAAGATCTAACAATGCTAAAGAAAAATAAAAATCCAGAGCTGTCCATTACCCAAGAACCACTGCGAACCCTTTCTGAAAATTCTTTGATCTTGTCCAGAACATTCCAAACATCAGGGACGACATTTTTGCCATCACTGCAAATAACTGCATCCCGTGGAGCTCTCAGAGCTACATGCAGTACTGATCTATTTTCTGTACTGTTTATCTGCAAAGGCCAAGAAAGAAAAACAGTTAGCAACTCCACGATTTACTAATTGTGATGTTATTTACCACAAACACAATGATTTAATAGTTGTGTTATAATTTATTTTGTTCTCCCTAGTACATGTGAAAACTGAAAATTAAATGCCAATTACTCTTAACGAAATTCATTATTGACTAATCAAGTGCCTACTAAATGCCAAGCAGGCCATCTCCCAGAGAACCATATCGACTCATTCAAGTGAGTTTACCATAAGAAAAATAAACCCAAAGCTCTCATTGCAGTTGCACCAATCAACTCAGAAATCCTATGACAATGAATTAAAGCGTTTCAATTTAGTTGTACATAGTAGCATCTAACAGACCACAAGTCATTTCACTAGTAAGTGGATTGCCAAAACTTACATGCTCTCCATTGTACATGCGTTCAATCTTCTGCTTGAGAGATGCTGCCTGCAGAAATCAAAGATGTCCAAACGACAATATCATAAATATCTTAGTTTCAGGAACATATAGTCCACATTTAATTTGAAATATACCCATCACCCCAACAGCTACGAACCTCTGCTAACGTGAGGAGCTTGTCAACAGTGTCAAGAGTAGCACGCTGCCGTGAGTAGTCCAACAGTATATCATCGAACTCGCTGTAGAAAAGCTTCGATTACTTAAAAATAGTATCTTTTCACGCTTGGTTCACAATACTTAATCCCACGATAGCAGGACAGCATCTCGAGGAAGATTAAATAAAGAGCTTAGGAAAAGGTCCGACGGAGGTGCATACACCATCATAGACTGGCACCGTTGGGCGTCGCTCATCAATTCTCGCAGATGGGTCCCCTTAATCTCCTCCACATGGCCCTGCACGACACCACATTTTTCACCGCGCGTCAAATACAGTTCCCGTCATATCAACAAACACCTTCAGGACACCTAAAGAAAGGCGAGCTAGGCCCACCTTCAAGTCGTTCCACGGCTGAGTCTCGCTGATCAGAGCAGGCGAACCCATTTCGAACGCGCTATACCGCTCGAAACCAAACCGCTGCACCGGAAACCATCAACGGAAGTCATGGTCATAAACCGTTCGAGATCTAACTTCGACGGCTTCATTAACAAAAGAACGAAAAGAAAGAGAGGCTAGATTATAGCCATCATGCTATTCAGCAATCTTCAGGCGAACTAAAAAGAACGTCATCGTCCGGGCGGAACGAGACAGATAAGAGGCGATAATCGCATCGGACGAGGCGGCGCGAGGACGGGCAAATGGCGCCCGCGGAACGCAGGGAAGGCGGTCGCCGGAGGTGCGAGACGGGAACGACAAGACGGCGGCGGCGAGAGGAAGGAGAATCGCAGCCGCAGATACCTGGAAGGTGGAAGATGAACGCTGCCGACGGCGACGGCGACGGCGGTGATGAGAAGAACCAAAAATGCAAAGTGGAGGACGAACGAGAGATATCGACGGAGCTGACAGACGGAGAAGAGAGAGAGAAAAGTGGGAAGGTTCGCCAAAAAGGAAAAAGCCGCACAGCACAGCACGGCACGGAGGGACGTCGCGTCGTCACGTGGCGCCGGCGTGCGGGCTTCGCTCGTGCGGCACCTCTCGAGCATTGGCGGGGGCTTTCTAACGACTCTCTGTGCGCGCACGCAGATTGCAAAAATTTCCGTTAGCCAGAAAATTTATTAATAAAATAAATTGGGACTCGTATGACTGCCGGCGCCGTATGAAGAAAAAAAAAATGAGGGTGTTGGAGTGAAAGTCAACTTAATTTAAATGAAAAATAAATACCATCAAAAGCACTAAATCATATCCATTGTAATATCAAAATTTCAAACTTTTTTCGTATTGCCAAGACCTCGAATTTGTACTAGCGTGACAAAAAGTACATTTTGTTTACTACCGGTAATCCTAAATTTTGCTCATTGTGACATTAATATCTCAAATTAGTTTTCTTGTCGGGCCTTCGATACACAGAACTTTTGTCGAGTATCGGTGTGACATGATTTTAGGGTTCTGGTGACGAAAGAAAATCGCGGGTATTAGTGTCACAATGCACGTCGTTTACAATATCTGGGAACACAAAAAAATGTTTGGGGGTATTGATGTCACAACGTGTCTAGTTTAGGATTTTTTGTGATATTGATCTACTCAAAGTCATGCTCCACCTGTGCAGCACTGGAATTGGATTGGATTCGATTCTTTGTTTTATCCAATGAGCTCTAAACTTGTGAATCGGTCTAGTCTGAGTTCGAACTTCGTCAAACTTGACCCAAATAATCTATGTGCTTCTCCGACCGATTAGATTCAGAGTTAGTCTCCTATAATCTTCACCCACAATAGAAATAACATGGTATGCAATCGACATTACGGAACGGTATAGTCTTTAGTCTTTAGATAGGAAAGATCAATCACGCCTATTGTGACCTTAAATGGCCAGAAAGCCATGAACTCTAACAATTACGTCCGTACTTGTTTTGCTTTTATTGTTTTTACTTCTTGTGATTTTATTTTACGATGCGTTCATCTGCAGATATATTTACTCAATATATGCGTGCGATTGAAATTCTGGACCTCTGTTCTTGGCACCTTCTTCATTGTCATAATTACAGTTTGTGAACAGGACGGCTGCAGCATTAGTATACAGAAAAGATTCAAAACAAGGATCTGCAAACTTTTTATCTCCGTGGCTGTATATTAACCATTTAGTCTGCGGGAGATGAATGTCGACAAGTCTTATCTCCCACGGAATCCGGAAAGAGAAAAGAGGAAGAGATAAAGAAAGATAGAAAGGAAACCGAGCTTTATTCCTGTTTTTAAGGGTATATCGCCAAAAGGTGTCGCCATCGCAGGTCGAACTCATTGCCAACTTTTTGCAACCAAATGCATTATTAATCCTGATTACCATGTTGTTGTTGTTTTTTCCGCCGGAGCTTTGTTAAAGAAGGTTCAGAGCAGTCATCACTTTTCAGGACAAAACGAACTTTTTACAATAGGCAACAAGCACAATGTGCTGCTATTCGAGTAAAAATGGTCTTAGCCAGTTAGTTTTCTTCACTTGCAGGATTCTTGTTCTCGCCCGGTCAGTCATCATCACAAACTGACAGCTAGAACCTAAAGATCTACCCTGTGGTAAGGTTGTTGCCAGTTAAAGCTGAATCGTAGTCTCTGCAGAAGTTTGTTAAATTCATCCGGCCAGGAAATGGGAAATGGATGCATATTTACAATAAGGCGACCCAAACGAGAACCAGTGCAGTGCTTATTCTGGCCAAATCGACGCTATAGATAGAAACCTGCTTCATACTTTCAATGCCGCCAAATTGCCGATTCTTGCTGCCGGAGTGACCTGTGCATCCACCGTCGTCAATATCTGAGGTATCGACATGCCTCCAGAGATGACAATTTCTGCATCACGCGCGCAAGAAGATTATAACCCAAACGACCATTCTAGATATTGATTAATAAAGAACACCAGCTTTGAATTTGAAGACCATACCGATCCCTTCCCGAACAGATAAGTTAGGCCTTATGATATCATTTGAACTTATCAGAAAGATGTCCCCCATGTAGAGGTGGTTAGAAGGCACATAAACACAGGTCAATTCTTCTTCACCGACGTTTCTTTGGAGAATAACGGAAGACGTAATAAAACCAAATGCATATTCGCCAATACGTGGATGCCTTATTATAGCCACTTCTTTGAATGCGTTGGTGCTTTGATCTGTAAGAAGATGCAAGGAAACACTTATTAGAAATCAGTAGCTAAGTCGGCACAATGTATCCGGAGATATACCTGGTGATATTGCTGCACTAATTTGCTTTGACGCAGAATAAATATAGCTCACGAGCGGCATTTTCTTAATGAACCATTCACCAAGGGTGAGGACAGAGGTTCCTAACCATGAAGACATGAAAATCCCAACCAAGAAAATGAAAGTGATGGAGGTGACAAATCCAAGACCTGCAGATGACCAGATAGTCCCATAAAGGAGGTGGAATTATTAACGCATTCAAAATCAGTCTGTTGAATTCAGGTCAGACAAAATATGGTTTACTGAGCATAAGGCGACAGTATGTTGCCTTGAGACATGCACTAGTAGGCCTAGTACATGAACCACTTTTGTGTTTGTCACTTATAATGATTCATAAGTTTCAGCTAAACAGAATGCCCTTATTCAGGAAAGGGTAATTTAGGACATACAAATGCAAGATCCAGTAGAAAGGAAACCATAAACCCAATTTGCTTTCAGACAGTCAGAGCCAGCAGATTCACCTCTAGTGGAAAGTTTCGTGAGTTCTCATACACAATTAAGGGACAAAAGACGAGTATTATTTTGTATCAAACAGATGAAACACATCAGACCTATCTATAATGCTTATTGATTGGACCTATTTGCCTTTCAAGCACTTTACATGCAGGATGTTGCCTATGCGAAAAAGTTACTAGATGCAAAAAATGTCAAAAGTAGACTCCTCTCACCATTGTCAGGGTAACAATCTGTACTCATTCGACAAGCATGACATATTACTGTATAGAAATATAAGAATCTCCCAGAAAGAGCACTATACAGTAGTTTCCTCATTATGCGCCGTAAGGAGCATTATGAGGGGTCAAATGCAATTTAGGATGACACCAGTTTTACATTCACGCTTGAGAATTGAACCGTATTTGCTGCAGCTGCTAACAAATTGCATAAAACCTTAAGAGCAATTGCAGTGACAAATACTCAAACAATACTCACCAAAGATGTTAATCCCTAGATGGTTATAGATTGGAGAGAAGAACCCATCCACGAAATGAACGAAACCCCACGTGACATAAAATGTAATGGCCATCGGAAGAAGAATGACACTGCAAACAATGACAAACTTTCTCACTTCGGTAAAAATTAGTCAAATAATCGTGCTAGAGACTCAAAAAATTGTATACAGCAACAATGAACCTTCAAAAGGTAGTGGTAACTTGACAAAATGATTTGACAAATCTAATAGGATGAAGATGAGAATTTCCCAATATATCATTGGGAGAAAAAGAAGGAAGATGGCATACCATCCCGTCATAAACTTTTTGGAAGCCCAGCTCTGGACAACTTTGGAAATTGCCTATGGAAAAGAAGAAACACAGTTACTATCCACTTATGGAGACCAAACCACATAAGATGGACGAATGCTACGATGTCTAACGATTCATTCTAGTCATAGTTTTCATCTCATAGATGTACTCGGTCATCGCAGTCACGGATATCCCACCTCTGTGCAGGAGGAAAATGTCAGAAAACCTCAGATTATCTCAAATTTAACCAGATTTTTCCAAGGAGCTGAGCAGGAGGTAATCAGTTTCTGTTTGGCCAAGTTTCATGTACAGACAATCAGTATTGCCACAGCATATCCTTAGCAACCCCAACTTTAGCTGTGGATTTTTACGATCATCGGTCTTCCGTCTAATTATCTGCCTTCATTTTTCAGCTGACAACTTTTTCTTTCTACCACTTCGGCGAATACCTCAGCCGGAACTCCATATGACAAGGCCAGCTCTTATCAATTCATTTGTTTTCCTAGCGCTCAATCTCCATAATGACAGCAAATTATAAGCCTTCCTAATCCGGATAAAAATTGCGATCAGGGTTTATCCGAAGATCGCCGGCGCCCGAAAGAGAGATCAGCTAAACCGAATCAAGGAACCAACAAACCACGCATTTTCTCCACCGAACCAATCGGCAAACGCAGCTTAAAACTAGAGCAAACGGATCGAAGAAACCATCCACACGCGAGCGATCTAAACAGATAGAACAGAGCGATGATGATGATGCTGGTGGTGGTGTGCGGCGGCGGTGGTGGTGGTGGTGGTGATGTGAGAGGGAGAGGGAGAGGGAGGGAGGAGAGAGGGACCTCTCGGCCGGAGTGATGATGGGAGGGCGCCACGACAGCCAGCGAGGACGACGGAGACGAGGACTTGGAGCCGCCATTGTCGGGGAGGGCCGACACGGGAATCAGCAACTCGCGATCTCTATCCCTCTCTCTCTCGTCGCCATCGCTTTGCGTTTCTTCGTGCTCGAACTCAGATTTGTTTCGAGTTCATGGAATTCGTCGGCAGTTTAGTTGGTTAGGGATGTGCGGGGGTCCCTTATAACTGTCAATCTCAGTTCCGACCAATCACATCAAAATGGGCTTCCCTAGGCCCAAAAATCATAGATAAAAGGGATAACGATGGAGTCTCTGAATTTTGACCCGAAATTTTGGTCTAACGTGAAATATAATCTCTAAACTTTTAATTTGATCGATATGATTCCTGAACTTTCTATACATATTCAATATAGTCCCTAAATTATATAGAAATATTTAATGTAATCCCTGAACTTGAATTATTAGAAAAACTATATTGAATATTTTTATATAGTTCACGGATTAAATTGAACATCATGGACCATATTGAATAAATTAAAAGTTCAAGGACTACATTAAACATTAGGCTAAAGTTTAGGAACTACATTGAATAAATTAAAAGTTTAAGGACAATTACACATTGAGCCAAAGTTCGGGAACTGTTTGTGTCATTATCCCTTTGTTCAATTTAGTATTGTATTTTTTTCTGCCAAAATAGTCTTTCTGTTAAAAAACAGTGAATAAAAATGCCGACGTGACCAATAAATTTCTATTTAATGCTGACTTACTGTCCCTCCTGCGTTGCTTTTAAATTCGTTCGGAAGTGTAAAACAAAATAAATATGGTTAGAAATACAGAAAAAATAAAATAAAAGTAAAGAAAGAAAAAGATAAAATAATACTAAAGTTTCTCAACAAGAAATCTCTTATACCTTCCTACCACTTGGTCGACCCCGCTTAGCGAAATGACATTGAAATTTGTTGTTATTGGTTATGAACATACTAAAAACGCAATGTTCCTCCAATGACAGGATTAGGAGGGAGCGATTTCAGATTTTTTACAGGGTTCACGTGGAACCTAGAACCTACCCTCGTGTATAGGTTCCTAGGGGCGTCAATGGGTCAAGTCGGGTCGGGCTCGACCTGCCCCGAAACCTGTAGGGTCACGCCCGACCCGACCCGCCCCGCCCCGCCCCGTCCCAATCCGAGACCCTTTTTAGCATATAAACCAAGAGAAGGGTCGGGTCGGGTCGGGTTTCATCGGGTCGGGTTTCGTGGATTGGGAGTTGGATCATTTAGGAATAAATCAATAAAATAAAAATAAAAATAAAAAATTTCCCATGAAAGCAATGTTTCTCTCTCATGAGCTTGGAATCATCTAGACTTCCATCTACGCCTCCTCCTTCTTCTTCTCCTTCTCCTTCTCTCTCTGGCGAATTTCTCCATTGAAGACGACTTCTGCAAGAGAGCGCAAGTGAAGAAGGAGAAAGCTCCCGCCTTTTGTTGTTCCCTTTCCATGGAATAGCAATAGTCGCGATTGCTTGCGTGTTGCGCTTCGCATATAAGCAGCCCGGTGGTGGTGTGACTTGTGAGGGAGTCAACCAAGCTCTCGAGCGTCGTCCCCAAACTTCCCAAAGGTTCTTGCCGGCTAGGGTTTCTATGTTCTTCGTCCGATCGTCGTTTCCCCGCTCTCGAGTTCCTCCTCGTCGGCTAGTGGAATCGTCGAAAGGATTGGCGCGATTGGAGCCGGGTTCCGCTTCCCGAAGTGGCGGCCATGCGAAGCGGAGCTGAGGTTCGGGGAGTGGAAAGAAGGGTGGAGCAAGCGAGCATGGGGGGTGGGGTCTCGACATGGTAATCGGGTTCTAAGGATGCCGAGCTTTGTTCCAGCGAATCCAACCTCCAATTCCATGTGAATCTCTCCCTCCTTCGGTTTAATGATGGGTAAGCAGTAGTTGGACGGAACAGAGGAAGAGAACAACATTCTATCAAGTCAAAAAGTCAATGGGAAAATAATTTAAAAATCAGCGCGGGCCTGGACTCTAGAAAATCTATTCATGTTACTTCTGGCTCTAATGGTGTCAAAAAGCCAGCGCGGGCTGGGCCCGACCCTACCCTGACTTGACAATACCAACACCTAAAAACTCTACCCCAAGCATACTAAGGCCTGACCCCAAAATACCCGAAATTTTAGTAGGTAGGCCCGCCTGCCACGGCCATGCTTTGACACCCCCAGGTGCTCTCATTTTTCGAACCTAAAACCCGCCCGTCAACCTAAAACTCAAACTGAATCCTGAACCTACCATATCACAAGTGATCCAAGCATTCAATGTTTTTTTTTATTGCATTTTTAGTTAAACAAAACAAAAATGAACATAATAATACTGAACAAGCTTGTCATTCATCAAAGATAATACAAAAGAATAATTTTCCTGGTATTACGTTTTAAATAAATATAATTAAAATAAGAAATCATTACGTGAATTGATACTAGAGGTGAGCAGTTTCATGTTCTGTATAGGTTCCACCCATGATAATAGGTTTTTCATTTTTTGGAACTTGGAACCTATCCTATCACAGGTTTGAGGATCGGTTCCAGAGTCTACTCAGGTTCCACTTGTATTATTAATTGAACAATTGCTGTGAATCATCACCTTTAATAACCATCACTTACTGTTATGATCGACCAACCACAACTTATATTTAGACACACGAAAAATATGAAATATTAACAAGTCATAAAATGAAAACTCAGACTAATAGTTCCAGAACATACATTCATCATTTAATGTCATGAAACAACGCAGGTTTCCATTGATCGGTTCTCGTGTTCTAAGGTAAAACCCGAAACCATGCTCACCCCTAGGCAGGATAGAGGACAAAGCTCCAGTGGATTATTACAACACATCTAGGTGCTCCTCTAACCATTCAATGGTAGCTTCTTCTCTTATGTTTTTTTCCTGTTTTTCAAGTTCATACAGTGCCCATACAGTGCCCGGAAACCGCAGCTGAATTTAGAAGCTAAATCTCATCATCCGTCAGAATCACCTCCGAACTGGTGAATCATAGCTTGTATTGGGGGAACATGAGATTGCTGCCACCGTAGGGCCAAAGAAATCTAGTGCGATGCGCGATCATCTGAGTTACAATTGCATCGAAATGTCGTAGTGAATCACCTTCCTTCGGCATATCAATTGTTCGCATCGCGGCTTTAATATCTCTTTGATGGAAGTCCAAAGTTTGCTGATATAGGGCATGCCACTTAATTCGAGATCATATGCTAACCTTATATAGTTACAGAGTACAAGTTCTCAGATAAATATTTAAGACTGGTGTTTTGGAGATCAGCGAGTGTTTCGGCCGTAAGCTCACGAGCCGATCCGTGACTATGAAATGAACGTCCGCAGTTAAATATAAATTCACTTTGACAAACCACTTGATTGGCGCAATAGAATTCCTATACATGGAAGCCATCAAGTTTGAGTAATTGCTACAATCCTACACCATGTAGGATTGAATTTCTGTCGATTTTGCAACGGCAGTAAAGTACAACACCAATATAAGTACCTAAAGCATTTGCCACACTTCACAACTTCTCGGTTTACTTGAAAGAATAACGATCCTCCGCCTTCAGCTCGCTCCACTTGGGTAGACACAGCCACCGTAACCTAGAAAACAAAGGGATCGATTGTGTAAGTCAGATTTGCCAACGATTTGAAAGCGGGTGAAGGCAAATGAAATCCTCCGTTTCATTACTATGTAATGGACTAGAAGGAGAAATGAGTGAACATCTGCCAGCAACATCAAACACCTTACATAGTCATATACAGCTAGGAGGAATATGCTGCTGCTTCTTCATGGGATCTTCAAGTACAGAGGATTACAGAGAACAGAAAGGAAAAGAGTATCTGTTCGGGTCGTATCATTGATAGGACCCATGATGGGCCTGTGGATTTTAATGCCAATGGGAAAGACTCATTTTAGTTGGAAGGCAAATGAACAGAAACTGTCTAGAAGTAACGGTACTCACTTGGGTTGTTGGATGAGACTGTGGCAGTCTGCGAGAAGTCGCAGTTCAAAGGACTGCGGTCAGAGTTCTGGTAGAAAAGATTCATGGCATATGCAGCATGTGATGCCACGGTGTTAGGCACGTAGCAAGCCCCACCAGGTTGGATCGGCTGGCAATTAATTCCTTGCCCACAGGCGTAATCCAAGTTCGCCTGCAACTGGGCATCCGACACCCCATCCTTGGGTATGCACCAAGTTGCATTATCGGGCTTTGGCGTTGGGGCAACAGGTGTCTTTGGCGATGGCGCGACGGGTGTCTTCGGCGCTGCGGGAGCCTTCATCAAGAGATAGTATGTTAGTTAACCACCCAAAGTCGATGATCAGGAACAAGCAGCATTGACAAAGTCGCTAATATTAGTCACTAGTCAGTATCAAGGGAAACCTTGGAGACTATAGCGGCAAAGATGGACAATTTGATTCTCACCTGGCTACTCTTGGAGAGGCCGACGTCATAGTTCATGGAAAGATCCGTCTTAAAAAGACCAAATGCACGCTCAGAAGCGGGTCCAGGTTTCAAATCCTCATCGTACAGGGCAAACAGATAAGTGTCTACTGATTTTCCAGGCATCAAGGGAGTTCCAACCATTGAGCGGAGGTGAGCTATCAGATTACCGTTATAGGCCTTCGCGTTCTCGATGCTAGGGCCAACCTCGTTGCTGTCTCCCTTGTATGGCCAACCGGTCTCAGCCACTACAATCTCCACATTTTTAAACCCAAACGAGTTTAATGCAGAGCGAACAGCATCCACCTGCAAACATAGTGTTTTCTGTCAGTCAGCCGCCCCTGTTCTGCAGCTATTGCTAAAAATTAAGATTGAAAGAGAATAGGGGAATATAACTTGGGATCCAGTGAAAAGGATCAACAGGCCATAGTTGCCTGTATCTGGTTTGATCTTTCAAGTGTAATAAATGACTCGTTGTACTGAGATAAACATTTTATTGCTTCAGAGTCTAAAAGATTTAACTTTTGTCCTTACCACAAAATCATGGAGATTGTGAGAATTAATCTACTTCTCGTTACAGATATCTTTGTTCTAAGATCACATACTCATGTAAAAACAAGTCATAAGTCGTTGCGCATTCATTCGGGGAATCAAGTCTGCATCTTTGCATAGTTGGATGAGGCATTCTTTTTTCTTGTTTCGTTAAGGAAGTGCTGAGACTCAATGGACTATGGCTTTGATGAAATTTGAGTAGGTTAATAGAAAAACCGTTGCCAACTACTAAGATACCAAAATCGACTTGCCTAAACTCTACTGATTTCAAAGTATTCATCTGTCATCAACTTAAGACAAACTTCTTGTTATCGGGAACTTTTCACCAACATAGTCCACTCAATTGGGGAAACATAGCCATTCTAGTACAAGTAGAGTGCAAGCATCCTTCAGCTGCAATTCAAATTAGCAACTGAACTAGGCCTTATCGCGGCAAATTGAAAAGCAAACAACTATAAATAAGAAGGTTGCATGAGTTGCTGACTCACCTGAGCATCAAACATATTGGTGTACTTGATGTTGGTGTTGGTATCGAGCCTCCCAGCATTGGGTTGGAACAAGCAGAAAGCCAATGTCTCAGGCCTAGGATCACTCCTGTACGCGAAATAGGGATATGGATTGATAGCAAATGGTGAACCGGTTGCATCGTTAAACCCCAAGATTCCCTTCATCAAATCACCGAAGCTGGGGTCAAAACTTCCAGAAGACGGCGGCTCAGAGGACTTAAGCACAGCCATGGAATGCACCGAGGACACCTTGATTTTCCCTCCCAGGGACATGGCATTAAGCGCATTCTGCATGTTCTGCATCGCCGGCAACAGCTGAGTCATCAAATTATGGTCTCCGGAGGTCATTACCTCATTGCCCACGGTGATGAGGATGATTTTACTCGAGGGATAGAAGGGAACCACGTTTGTGTTCACCCAATTCTTTGCGAAGTTAGGATCATTTGCCAGAGCAGGAATGTCGCCATTCGCCGCGCCGATGACAATTCCAATACCCGTGTTTGCTAGAGCGCTGATTATGGCGGGGTCCGATCCATATAACCGGACCTTCTCGATCGACGTTGATTGAAGTAGCTTCGCGGTGGCCGACGGCGGCGGTAGGTTATCCGCGACCTGGCCATAGTTGACTCCAATGAATGACTGCGAATCTGCGTGCAAATATCGTGTTAGCTAATCATGGATTAGACACAATCACTCAAAATTTTTGGGATTCTGATCCTTTTAGCTTCTCAATTGCACACTGACTTCTTGACTAATTGTTCTTCACTGCACATGTTATTCCCTAAGGAAAGCTAAGATAGAATGTGAAAACTCACAATAATACTCCATCGTACACAGACTAAATGACGGGACAGACTCTAATTGAGCGCGCAAGGTGCTCCATCGCTCGGTATATTGATTTTCTGGACCAGTCTTCACATACCCAGCATGACTTGACGACTCAATGTTAAAAAAAAAGGATCATGCCGACGAGGGCGGCGAGCACTCCTTGACCATACTAAATAAATTTTCATATCCAATGCAGGCTTTATCTTGACATTTTTCATGTGCCTGGGCACCTGTTAACAGAATAAAAGAAGAAAAAAGCGGTTTGCAGCATCTCCAAAATCTTGTCTAAAAGAGCAGGAACTCCAGCAAATACTATGATCCTGCAAAAACCGGGTTGGAACTTTCGCGCAACTCAAAACAAGAAAACTCCACACGATTACCGCGCGTTGCGTGATTGAATTGGGATCAGAAAAACTTACCCGCGAAGCAAGACGCCTGCAAGAGGACGATGAGGAACAGGAGGGTGGTGAAGGGCGGAATCGCCATGATCGAAAGGAGCTTCATTCTCCGAGTTTCTTTGCCAATGCCCAAGAACACACACACAACACGACGCGTGGGCAGAGAAGCAAAGAGGAGGAAGAGAATATAAACACGAAAGGTGAAGCTTTCGATGTACAAAAGTTTCAGGAAAAAAAGAAGAAAGAACGGAGAAAACAAAACGAAAGAAAGAAAAGCAAAAAAGCGCGAGCTTGAGTGTGGAAAAGGGCGTTCGAGAGTGCCTTGAAGCTGGAAACTTTCCGTGTCCCAGCACCACGTTTCAGATAAAAGAGCCGTAGCAGCAGCACTTCTATGCTATGCCAGCACTTCGTGGGAGACGCTGATGACGAGATGCAGAGGAGTGGGTGGGGTGTGGGGGGATCTAAACGCCGTGTCGTTTCTGCAGTGCCGTTTGAAGTGACGGGAACGCCCCCCGTTTCGACCGTTGCGTTGAATCCTCGTCGCGCTACGTAATCTTGGGCCAATGATTGCATGGTGGCACGTGCATGAAAGCGCCATCCAGATTGCATTTTTTTCAAATCGTAATGGGGAGCAGAGGAGGGAGATGTATGAATGAGCGGACGACAAGGCTCATCATCATTTACTTCTCTTAGAAGGACCTTAACGTTACAAATCATCATCGTTTGGTACTTGCCTACTTGGAGATCTGTCTCCTTTGTCAAACTACAGGCTGATATTTGACCCAATTTTTGTATAAGGGGTATCGATGTTTCGGTCCGATCGGGTTTCCATGATACTCGACTCGAACCGAATTATATGGGGTGTGTGCTTGTTTTGACCCGAACCGAGTCGAGTATGTAGAATAGTTTTTTAATGATGTGGAAGGAGCTCTTGTTAATTAGTCACTTCATTTCTCTCTATCTCATCTCCACACCCAAACAAGACGAAGGAAATTGCAATTTCAATCGCTTTTTTTCTCTCTCCATTTTCCTTTCTCTTCCATTCCCTCAATTTCATTCCTAATTTAGAGTTACCGGAAAAAAAAAGTGTCAGATGGAATACAGATTTGCACACTTAATCGTGGATATGCAAATTCTCTCAATTCATCAGGTCAAAGTGACTCGGCTCAATCGCCCAAAATCATAGTAGCCAGTCATCAAAAGAGGACAGCAGCGCGAGATATTTAGCACATGACGTGTCAAGACCTTTGAGGGATCAGTTGAGCCCGGCGATGATCGGAACATTCTTACCAATAATTCAAAAGTAAGGGCGGATCGAGCATAAAGATACCCACAAGTTTCATTTAATTAAGTTTAGCACGGGATCGTAGCCAAAAAGGGGAACCACCAAACCCTCATAAAGATTCGATGTCCTCCAATGGATTTTGCCTTCCCTGCTAAGGAACTGAACATTCCCTCTCGACGCATTTTCAGGATAAAGTAAGGAATTAAGAAAAGTTGCAGCATTTCACGTGGGAGAGCCCACGGTAAGAGATCAGAAAGAGCTTCTCGTGTAATGAAAAATCGAAGGAACATCTTGTTTTGATCTAAAGGTGAGAAAAGGGTACAAAAGAACAAAAGGTGGACCGACTTTCAAGTAAGAAAGGGATAACTTGGGACTCAATTTATGCCCCTAGCAAATATATGGAGGGTAAGCAAGCTTTTTGAAATTTAAGCTCGAGGCTCGCCGGCACGGACCTGGTGATGTACATTCGTAATCGAGAACGTGAACCTTCGTGGAGAAGACGGTCAAATTAAGGCTCCATTTATTTCACGGCAAATGAATGATTTGGAAAATATTTTCCTAAAAAGAACCGCTTGTATTTCTTACAAAAATGAATGAATGGCAAGTATTTTCATTGTCCATGGAGATATTTAGACATAAATTATTATCAATAATAAAAATATTTTCCATTGAACAAAAGATATTTTCATCGTCCACGGAGATGTTTAAACATAAATTATTATTGATAATGAGAATATTTGCTATTGACTAATTATTCCAAGCTATATAAGCGATTATTTTTTATGAAAATATTTTTCAAATTATTTATTTTTCACAAAACAAACAAAGTCATTTAGAGCTATCTTTAAGGAACATAAGAATCTTCATTTTTGCAAGCTATGTTCCTGTCCTAATCAATTTCTTCAAGGAAGATATGTTTTTAGCGCACGTTGGGACGATTCTATTATTCTGGTATTAAAAGAATGGATTGTAGATTTCTGAAAAAGCTAATAAATGTCAAAAAATAATGATAAAAAAGCGATTATTACAGAAATGGTCCCTCAACTTTGGCATATTGTGCAATGTTGTTCTTGAACTTTTAATCTGTTCAATGTGGTCCATATATTTTAGCCCAAATGTGCAATGTCGTCCTTAAACTTTTAATTTGTTCAATATAATCCATGATCTCTATTGGTAAATGCTCAATCCAATCTCTTGATTATATGAAAATATTCAATGTTATCTTTATATTAATCAAAGTTAACATAATTAACTGATTTGACTTCCAATCCGATAAGTTTGAATGGTGGACCAAAAAATAACGTTATATGTGGATTATCCACGTAAGATATTCATTCTAATTGAATTGAATATCACGTGGAGAATGCACGTATAACGTTTTTTTTCACTATTCAAACGTATCGAATTGGAAGTCAAATAAGCAAATTCTGTTAACTTGAATTAATAGAAGGACAACATTGAACATTTTTATGTAATTTAGGGATTAAATTGATCATGAATCAAAAGTTCAAGAACCACATATTAAAAATTTAGAGATAATATTACACATTGGCTAAAGTTCATGAACCACATTAAATAAATTAAAAGTTCAAGGATAATACACATTGAGTCAAAGTTGAGGAAACTTTTGTGTCATTTTCCTAGAAAAAAAATTATTGGCCACCTTATTTCCCGATGATTTGTTAGTAATTTATTGACACTCTTATGCAAGTACCAAACTTTTTTTAACATTTTGCCAATTACCAACTTATCTTATCTTTTACCAATTTTTATTTATCTTCCTTACAAACATTTTAATTTATCAACTCTTTAGTGAATATACTAAACTTTATCTGAACGATTTGCCAACTCTTTTTACTATTTAATTACCAACTAATTTTAGGTCACCAATTCTCATTACGATATGCTTCTCTAGTTTAGGTTAGAAGTTTCACAGCCTAGTAAATAAATTCGAATCGAGAATAAATAATGCAAATAAAAGTTGGTACGTTAGTACAAAAATTGGTAATTTACAAATAATCAAAAAAAGATATCGGTAGTTTTATAAAAGTGTCGGTAAGTTACCAACAGATTACTTTGAAAACAATCACCAATCAATTTCTTACCAATAATTATTTTACACCGGTCGACACTTAAAACCGAAATTTACCGGGATAAAAAAAAACGCGATGCTCGGCACGGAAAAGATATAGTTCGGGAAAATTCCGAAACGCCCCCCTAAACCAGTAACCGCTTTCACAAGGTAACCCTTTGTAATGGACTTTTGTCTCAAATAACCCCCCGGACTTAACAACTATGCATCAATTTACACCCTTCGCTCATCGGCGGCCAAATATTTGACGGAACGGCGAACATGTGCAAGTCACGTGCCCATTCGAGGGCTTGTTGGTCCACATGCACGAGCGAGTCACGTGTGTTTGAGTCGATATCTATAACAGGTTAATCATCAACAGAGGAAAAGAAGGGATTCTCACTGGGCTTTCTGCATTTGAAGAGGAAAACCAATGCGAGTTGTGGCAGGAGGGATGCACTGAGAACCGTACGGATTGAGTCAGTTTAGGGTTTCCAATTTTAGGATTTATCTAAGTGAAGAAAATTGAGAGAGGTTGAAGCTAGCTTGTGGGACATTCTATTTCAAATTTTAGACTCGTGGAGCATTTGAAATCGGAATTAGGGATTTCGAATCGAATGCACGAGTGCGTTCGAGTCAAGTTTCGCATTTTTCAATCGAAATGAAGAGGGCCCCTGGAATGGCCGTGAAACGGGCACATATGATCCTGCGCCGATAAAACGGGGCGGAACCTGGTGAGCGGCAGCTAATTCTTGCCCTTTACCAAGTTTAGTGGTTCCTAGGTAAGAACCGACGCGACATTCATGGAAATCATCCGCGGCTATTGATTTGTACGACTCTTCTTCACGCATCAGAGAACTGTACAAGCCGTTTGAATCACGAAAAGATCACGAAAAGTTTCGATACACGGGACGATTTCGACGAGGGTAATGAACACTAGAGAAATTCAAATGGTAATCGGCCAAAAAGAAAGGCCAGCACGCGGGACAGCTCTTTAAAGACGTCACGAGTCAAAAAAACAAAACCCAAGTCGGATCGAGATGGTCCACGACATTCTTCGGCGGGTTCTGTAGCGAAACTGATTGCGAAAAGATGGGAAATGGCGACCTCACGTATCACCTTCTTGAGTGGCCCGGCGGGCGAAAATGGCTCAGGGATTTAAAAGATCTCTCGTCATCTCGTCGATGAGTCCATTGATCACCTGCTTCTCCACATCTCTCACCACGTCGTCCTTTTCCAGGAAGGCAAACATGGCATCGTTCCATCCGAAGTCCCACATGCAGTTTGTGTCGGGATCGCCGACATTGACATCGATCTCGAGCATATTAGGGAGGTAGTACTCCGGTTCGCATTCGGGATTCCCATTCCTTCCATGCAGTTTCAGCTGGTTGAAGTTTTGGTTCAACTGGTGGACGAGATCGTCGATCGTCCTCACCCTCGCGAAAGCGATGGAGATTTTCATGAAGGGGTGGACGGCGAGCTCTTGCTTCCTCCCCTTCCTTTTCATTATCTCGTAGCCACAGTCCAATATGAGCTTGTCGTCGTCTCCGAGTGAGTTCTCGTCGCTGACGTGTAGGAAGGCCGCGGGGCTGTCGAGATTGAAAAGTGCCTCGGCCGTGTTTAGGAATAGATGACTTTTCATCAGAATGTGCTTGAGGTGCTTTTCGCATTCCGTCATTTTTTCTTGAATTCCGGACTTCGAAATGTCCCTGTCTTCCGATTTGTCAAGATGATGTGTATAAGTTGTCACTCCTGCAGTTCCTGCAACATTAAGATGATTAGCTTGATCAGAAAGGCCGTTTAATTGCCAGAGTCATCCCATAGCATCAACATCATGGACAAATACTCGAAAATGAGTCATGCCGGGAGCGAGTACAATATGCAACTCAAAGGTCGTTCATAGTTACCTTGCTGATCTTACATTTTATCAGCAATGCAATACAAAGTTTGGGAGAGGCAGTTCTCAGGAGTGGGACTTGTCTTGAAGTAATTTTACTGAGTTAAATTTCAACTACCCGTGAATGGGGGAGTTTTATTCTATCAAAGGCTTTAGTTTGTCAATCCTCTGTGGTTTTACTCTCTATGTCGAGGAATGGAAAAGAGGAATGTTTTTCAAACTCACCATCCGCCGGTTCTGAAATAATTGTCGCAGACATCAGTTCTTCATCTCTGCCAAACTCTCCCGAGTTGACGTGTGGATCATTTAGGATTACAGAGGATACATTTTGATTCTGCAAGACAAATTAAAGGTGAGTATTGGCCAATAAATTGGCGATCAGCTTCTATGTTACACATTCGCATAATTCTTGGGAAAGCAACTATACTTACCTTGAAAACTAGCTTGTGAAAAATGGTGGTGGGAAATAGAGGAACTAAAGTCTTTTGACACGCCTATTAGATTTGGTAACTATATATCCTCATATTGAATGTCAACATATAGCTTTTTTGGTGTCGCGACAAGATAGGCTTACCAAGTCATATGGGAAGTTTCGTGCTTCCTCGAGCTCTGGGGTTTCATCCACGTCGCAAGCATAAGCAGGTGCTAGTTGTTCAGCTTCTTTCTGGTGTTCCGGTGCATTAGCCAGCCACTGGAGGCTTGCTTCGGCTGTCGAAGGCTTGACATTGTGCTCTCTGTGAGCAGACTTATCGGTTTTCGCTTGTTCAGTTTCAGCAGAACCATCCAGTCTTGCACGCCTTATCTGCTTTGCTCCTTCTCTATAGGAAGCTTGTGGGAGTGGCTTCGCCAAGTTATTATGTAGGGCTCCACTTTTCTTCTTCATTTCATTCAGCTTCCGAGGCATCTTGTTTTTCGGTGGTTCCGTGGCCTTTCTTGCTCTTGGAGCTGGTTCGAGAATGCGTTTCTCCTCGACCACCGGCACGGCATTATTCCTCCCTTTTCCTGATTCAGATTTTACCCTTCTCGGGACACGTTTTTGCGGTCGACTTTGGTCTGGAAGGTTGTTGGCCTGCGCATCATAAATAGAATCTGCCGGAACAAACTTTTGAGGTTTTGATTGGTCCAGATGCGGATTCTTTTTTTGGAAGCTTAATACTTCCTCTTGCACAGGCTTTGGTGAAGCCTTGTGGATGATTTCACTTCCTTTAGATTGCACCTCCTGGCTCTTCATCTCTACTCTCATTCGCTTTTCTTCAGGAGGCTCTGGTCTCTGCAGCACAAAAGATTGCTCAAAACCATTATCTCTTTGAGGCATTTGCGGATGAACTGGGAACAACACGTCAGCGTTTCTCTTTTCCATTTGTACTTTCCTTTCCTTGTACCCCAGCTTTTCTTGCAGGGTCGGTCCAAATTCGTTTTTTCTTGGAGTTCTTGGGGCCATATGATACAGCTCGTCATTATGGGTCTGTCCCTTGTTTTCTCGGATCTCTGCGCCTTTCTGTTCTCTCATCGTTTTGACATCTTTTTTCCTCTCTGCTTCCTGCTTACGCTTTTGGTCTCCGCTGTTTTGATTGAACGGGTCAGTGTTTGGTCGCTCCTTCTTTGTTTCACTATTGACCTTTTGAGTTTCCTTCCAGGGCAGTTTTTCAGTCGAGCTGACCAACTCTGATCTAACGCTGTTAGTGGCAAGTCTCTTTTCCGCTCCCAGAACTGTACTGGTGATGTCCTGAGTCAATAGACTCTTTCCTGGCTGCGCCGTTCGGATGGATGAAACGGGAAGATTGGGAGCGTCTCTTATCTTTGGTTCGACATCCCCGGTGCTCCCTTGTGTTGACTTCTTTAGGAGCTTCCGGTCTGACGTCTGATTGGAGCTCTTATCTTTCTCTCGGGTATATCTCGAATCGTGATTTACTGGAAGTTCTTCAAGCCCCATAAGTTTAGCGATAACATTGGACATTCTTCCCTTTTCTGATTTTGTTTGCGGTGAATTGGAGAGGTTCGACTGTTCCTGGAGCGGGGTGAGGTTTCGTGTATTGTTGCCAAAGCTAGTTGTCCGCTTGTGAGAAGCTGTTTTGACGTGAGATTGAGTTTGCACTTTGTAGTGAAAACTTGTAGCTTCTGCAGGATAAGTCAAAGCTGGCAATCCAGGCTTTTGAATGGCGTTAACTTGTTGATTTCTGCGAGACCGTCTTGCCGGATCATCAAAGGAGAATTTTGGCGGCAGGACAAGCTGCTTCTGTTCAGTACTCTTTATTACGTCTCCTTCACCGTCATCATCATCGTCGAGCAGAACTAGGCGGTTCTTCCTCTGCGGCTCAGTCATGAACTCTGAAGCATCCTCCAAGTCCACTAGCATCCTCAGCGACTCCTCCAAATCCATGGCCCCTTTCAACAGCTCTTTTCCGATTTCTATCGAATACCTATCCAAGTTTACTCCGCTTGACCAAGCTCTTAGGATCTGATTCAATTTCTGCGCGCCCTTCGATATCTCTTTGATGTGGAATTGAGAGAGGTTCGGGACTTGGATGGTCGACGAATGGCGCCGATCCATGCTGTTTGTTCTTTCCATCTGGTTGAGTTCCACAGAGCCCCGGCCAATCTGATGCAGGAAAGTTAGCATCGAACTATTGCCCGACGAATCCATCCTTCGGAAATTTCCTCCGTTTTCGACGGCGAGAGCGAGAGCCATGGACAGATCTCCTATTTGCTGCGAACTCTGGCCTCTGCGGAACGCAACTATCTGGTTTGAAGCTTCTCCGCTGTAAAGTGATTTCTGGCCTCCGCTAGACCTACTGTGAGTGTTTGCACTTCTTGGAGCGCCCTGCGAAATGTTGTACATTTAGTCTAACGGGCTTTACGTTGGCCAATTTACTTCTATTATTCATGGGAGCTTACCGTCCTATTTTGTGTTGATCCTCGGTGTGTTTGCCTTGAGTAGCCATATGCATCTGCAGTACATTATATCGATATAAGAACACAAAGTGAAATCTTTTTGCACGCCTAAGATCTGACCAACATCGTAACGTACATTAAAGACGGCGTACGTCTTCTATATGCATGTAATGCGTCGAATATCCATCGTCTTGATGCAAAAGATAAGATATATCCCTCGAATGATCGCGAAAATTCTTGACCCTTTCTTTAGCGACCTTTTCCTTTCCATGCGTCTCTATTGAACGTCAAGAAACGATGTTGTCCTAGCTTTACTAACGCTTGAGAGACCTAATTTGTTTAGTTGATTCGTTATATAATTCAACTTCTGGATGACTTAGTTGCCTAATCTAGTTGAGAAGCCTGATGAACTGGAATTTCTCGTGCTTCCTCCTCGGAGTCCATGAGGCACGCGCGAGAATGAAGAGATTACTCATTTGCAGCCACCAGAATAGTCTCATCCCGGTCCCTCCTATTACTGCAGAGCAGTTTCCAAAAGATCAAGCAAGATGATATATAGCTTTTTCACAGCTTTCCATGTTAAGCGGGTTCGATTCATTGGAACAACGAGCATGCCAAGAATGCAAGACTTGATTTCAAGATGCACTGCCTCTTACTACTAGTAGTAAATTGCATGTGAATGTTCACTGACTCGAGGGCTATTAATCACTTAATGCAGAAACACAATTGAAAAACTTGCCTCCTCCTGTCTTGTAATGCGAATGGCTCGAGCTCTGAGATGTGGCCAGGCGTTCTTTCCGCAGCCTGAGATCGTCCAACAGCTTCTGAGCGAAATCCGACCGCTTTGCCATTCCGGGCTGTAATCTGCAATGACTTTCTGTGCACTTTCTTTGCGGGTGAAAAACAGCAACTGCTATGTAATGTGATTTTGGTTGCAACGACACCTTTTGGGTACAAAACAATGGAATGTCTCGGCCATTGTCGTCGCGACGAATAGGTTTCCTCCTTCCACAACGTCACAGAGTTGAGTGGATAGAATTAGGGAAAGCAAAACAAGGCCTTAGATCGTTTCTGGTTGAGAGGGCTCTTTCATAGTTGGGTGTGGTGGGATGTCCAGCTCAGAGCAATCAAATGGGAGTAAGAATTTTCTTTGGCCACAATGTTGACGTGAAAGCGAGCTCTCTCTCTCACGGTTCAGTTCTTGAAGACCTTTTGAGTGTACTTTGATTCCAATCCAAGCAATGAGCACAGAGGATTCTGAAAGGGCTTCTCTTCAAAGCTTCCTTTTTCCATCACCAAACTCAGCTGTTTTTGTCCTCCAGTTCCCATGTTCATGAACCTCTCTGCTTCTTTCAGCCACTGAAATGATGAAAAAACTGAGCGGATTGGTGAATGGGGATGGGGTTTGGATTCGCAGCAGAATAACCTTTAACAACCGCTCTCGCGTGCAAACTTGCGAACCGAACAAGGAGCTAACCAACCACATGGGAAGTACAGACCGGCAGCATCAAGAACTGAACATCTTTCTCCGATCTTGATGTCATATTAAAATTCCCGACCCGGAAAAGCTTCAGCAAATTACAAGCCTTACATATCAAGATATAAGCGATGCGGGGTATTTCAACGGGACGCAAAGGAGACGAGGAAAGAAGCTGAGTGCTTAGTTGGTGTCTGTTCACACGTGGGTTGGGGAGGTGAAAGCAGCAAGAAAGAGATCTGGAGGCACCATCAGGAGGCCCCCACCGCCGGGCATCCGTGCCATGCACTCAATTCTCAATGGCTTTTCTCAGTGAAAACTCCAACAGATGCTCGCGATTTGATTCATTCGAAACACTGAATGTTTGCCTACTCCCGAAGGTGACCGACCGCCTCAGTGTCTTCTCGGGTCAATGTGTTTCCTGCTCGAGCCATTACAGAACGATGCGAGGTATCGGATGATGCTGCGTGAAGTTGGCGATCCGACGCGGCGAATGACTTGAGCTCGGGGCGCTCCGTAGCTGATTTCGCGCGTCGGCTCGATTCCTATGCAGCTCAACCGATTCAATGCGTCAAAGGATGGCTTACATAGGCCAACAATTTCGTGGGAATCACGTTCTCGTGCAAAGTAACGGGACGAGGGAAATAACCTTGCCGCAGATATGACCCTAAACACGTGTGTTCAAAGCACGAAAGACAAAACACCCATGGAGACACGAAGAAAGTCTGGGGTCCTCAGTCCGTACCTGCTCGCTTCAGTCGACGGAATCCGTTTAAAATCCAATTGGGGTCGATCGAAGTTACGAAGACTGTCAACCCATACGATAGAATTCCGGAACTGAAAGCCATGTTCCACATTTTGCGCAGATGCACCCCCTCTATTTATAACGTAAAATCACTAATGAACGATGAATTTAGATGCTAAGTTTGAGATGTTGGTATTTAGGGATAATGACACAAATGATCTCTAAATTTTGATCCAATGTGTAATGTGGTTTCTAAAATTTTGATACATGTTCAATTTAACCCCTGAATTATATGAAAAATGTTCAATGTTGTCTTATTGAACACGTACTAGAAGTCCAGAGACCATATTGAATAAATTAAAAGCTGTGAGATCACATTATACATTAAGTTATAGTTTAAGAATTACTTTGAAAAAATTAAAACTTTAGAGACCATATTGCACATTGGCCAAATTTTAGGAATCATTCCGTGTCATTTCCCTTCTATTTAATAAAAATAAGATTGAGCGGGATGGGCTTAACGACCAACCCATTTACATCTTCGCGGGGCAAAATACCCGGCCCAAGGAGCTAGACTAGGCGCGTGAGATGACGCCACGATAGTAGCGCGTGGCGGGAAAAATGTCTCCCAAATCGAGAACCTTCCCGGCAAAAAATATCCACCTAACCCGCACATCCCACCGTCCATCTGACTGACCCCCGCTCACCTACAGCCGTCCGATCAGCAGAGGTCCCTGGTATAAGTAACGTCCCTCCTTTCGAAACCTACCGCACATCTCTCTCATCTTCTTTCTCCGTTGCTTAGCTGTTGGTTTGCGTACGTCTCTTTTCTCCGTCCATGTTCTCCTCAGATCTGGAGCGCCATGCGCGTCCTCGTCGGCTGCTCGCGACGGATCCGGGCAGATCGGGCGGCGATCTATCGTTCGAGTATGGCTTCGACCGTCGCCGTCGACCGTTCGGTTTCGAGGCGCGGCTTGTCCATGCTCGTCGCGTAGACGTCTTCGCCGTCCATCTGGGCCTCTGCGACGTGGTAGGATCGATGTTAGCGGCTGGAGGTCGATTTCCTCGCTAATCGATGAGTTCTGAGTTGTTTTTCCGCCGGCGGAGTTTCCCATGGGATCGGCGTTGACCGGTGAACCTCGAGTCTTCTTGCGCCTCCTGGCCGCGGAAGCGATGGCGCCGAAGGACGTATGGCTTCTTGATCAGATTTCGCTGTGATTTCATCTTTCTCTCTCTTTGGTTTCTGGTGTGGATATTAATCGGAGGATTCGGTTTCTTTCTTGCAGTCTTTTGCTGTCTCGCTCTTGTGTGATGTAAGCGGCCGATCTGGTTGGGCCATCTCTCGATTCGCGAGTCAATTTCTCGGCAAAGTAGAAGGGCTGGATTGATGTCTATTGACAGCTAAAGGGGTTTGTTGAGCATGTTCTGCTGTTACTTAGTGAAGCTATGAAACATAGCTGTATATATCATGTTGTGTGGGCGTGTCTTGAAAGATAGAAATGGTGTTGTTGAGGGGAGAAAATTCGGGGGAGGTAACCGTGTTAGATGTGAGGGGGAGAAAAAAGAAGAGCGGATGTGTTCGACCTTTGCCATGACAGGTGCGCTTGCATGGCAGGTCACCGAAACCAAATAAAAGTGCTTCCTTTTTGGTGTTTGAAGGGGGAGATGGCACGGGGGTTCTTGTGTCTTTTGCCCGGCTCTCCCCCTTCCCGCGTGCCTCGTGTCTTGGCTCCTTCTTTTTCCTTTTTCGTCTCCGTTTGCTCGTTCTTCGTATACCTTGCATACGCCTGTCGGAAATGATCCTATGCAAATTGCACCGAGTACGAACACATCGGTAGAATGCAGGGAAATGAAAGCGGTGATGCTAGCTTAGAGAAGGAGGTACGACTTAAACTAGTAATTCTAGTTGGTCGTGGTACCCCTTGTTCAATGATGATAGCTACCCCAATGCAGAAAAGTCCTGGACCGTAGTCAAATTCCACCAGAAGGTATACCTTGAATTTGCGTCTTTCATTGTGCTTAATCTTGCCCTTTGGCGGCAGCTTTTGCTATATGCGAATTCTAATGGCGTGCGAATTATTTACCTGGCTGATGAGTTGATTCCTTCCAAAGAAAAATCTACTCGCTTGCGGCCATTGGTCTTCTTAAGCATATTTCATGATGGCAGTATGGATTCTTAAGTGATTGATTAAATGCACTGGTGACATATCAAGATATCATAGACCTAATGTTTATGCTAGGTTTGCATTTCTAGTGACCCTTACAAACATCGTGTTATCCTCACTCATGCTCAAGAAGATAACGTAACAACGATACTCACACCTTCATGGTGGATGCTTCCCCAAGAAGTTGGAAGTCCATCTGAACAGATGTATAGGTTATAATTGGAAATTATTGACTTTATATAGAAGCAGCTCCTACGCCTTGTCTGTGCCTGGAACAAAAGTTACTATTTTCTTTGTGTTTTATCGCTCTTGGTTAATTTGCGCACGATTTTGTATTCTATTCTCTCTTTCTTGTTCAGAACTGATAGTACATCAAGACAATTCCTGATTTGGAATGTCGAAGCATTTGGAAGTTGATGCCAGGTTAAAGATTTTGTATATATGAGCTATATGTTGTAGAGATTATGTTCTGTTAAGCGTGGTTCGCTGCCCTGCTCGTTGCAAAGCTGCTTCAGACTCTTCAATTCGCTGGATCAATGAAACCCTCAAAAGTCGCTTTCCAGATCGACCTGATTGTTTTGACTCAAAAGTGGTGTGTTGCTTTGGGATGCCAAATCGAAGGATGTCTTTGAAGCTCGCTTGAACTTGTCTGATGGTAAGGTGCAAAACTACTTGTTCTGATCGCTTCTGATGTCTATTCTATCTTTGTTTGTGTGTGATAGTTGTCAAATGTTTAGTGTGTCTTGTGTTCTGTTACATGGTTTGTCATGCACTGTAGTCTGTTATTGGTCATTCCTTATGTTTCGTGTTTGCTTTGTTTGATTATTTCTTAAAATAAACGGGCCTAGACGTGAAGATATTTGTGGTCTAGTTTTGTTTTGGCGTGGAGATATTATGAAGTTGGACTGACCATATTTATATGAAGGGTAATATTTTTTACTAGGGCTAAGAAATGATTTCCAAAAAAGCAGTTATACCGAGATGTAAAACTGGCTACTGCCTCTTCATCAGCTGATTGAGATGTGTTGGGCATGGCCCGGACTTGAATTTTGTGGTGGAAATTCACTGTCGAAACTAGAGCAAAGTTTGTGGGTTTGATAATTCTGGTTTGAGAATATAGTTTGTGTTGAGTCGTGACTTTTAGCTGCTAGTTTAACTTATATACTCAACTCTGTTGAACTCATGGCGGGCAGAATTGTTCCATTAACTTGCTGGAAATATAATTTTAAAAGTGGATAATTTCACTTGTAAGTTGCTGAAAGAGACATTTATTCAACAGCTTGCAGTGTTGATAGTACACCGGTTTAATGTGAAAAATTGTGTTTTCTCTTGGGACTAAACCTCTCCTTGTCTTTACTGGTTTACAGAGCATGAAAGTCGATTTTCCACGTGTGCTGAGCCTCTGCCCTATCCATGAGGGGACCCCATTGAAGTTGATTCACTCCATGCCAATGTTTCCACGTGTACTGAGCCTCTGCCCTATCCATGAAGGGACCCCATTGAAGTTGATCACTCCATGCCATTGTTGGAAGAATTCCTCCAGCTGTGGACATGTTACTTTGCATGGCTGTCTAACGGAAACCACGATGGTGAAAATCTGTCTATATTGTCTTCTCTTTGGCCGCATGAACACTACCAGTTCATATGTTTGAGTGAAGCACCTGCATGATGGAGCGCACTGAGTGATGCATTATCTACTCATGAAAGCATTCTGTTTTGACACCCGTCGATTTTCCTTGCTTCAGTTGCATTTTAGCTGAGTTCCAGGACCAAAATACAAAAAATACAAGACCATCCAGATCTTTGGGAATTTTCCGCAGGAATACTTTTTGGTGTACGAATTGCTGGTCAGTGTCCATCTTGAATGTTCTCTGCCTGTGCTTTGTTGAAGTTGGCATTGTATGTTCTCTAATGCCAAGACGCTGATATAATCGTCATCTTCTCCCATTATTTTATGGGGTCGCTGAATGCATAAGGTAAGAAAGGTTCTGCTGAGAGTGCTTGGGTTGTCGATGGCCGTTCCTCAAACTAATGAAATTCGCTTACCCAATTTTCCTTAAGTTTTTGCTGATAAGAAAAATAATATCCATTTATTATCTGCTTTATTAATTTTGTATTGTATCTTTGTGGTGATTTATTCAACTGTGTAAACCATGAATTTGCCAGTTGGGAACGTTGGATTTTTAAACTTGGTCTTTCCTATATGATTCCTTGGAATTTTCCTTTGTGAATCGAATTTTTTGTAATATGTGGTTCGATTTTCCAGTAAAGCACTTATTGCAGTGTCAAGTACTTGTTTACCGTGCGGTCTTTGCAGTAAAATTGTTGTGAAATGGAGGAACAGTTTGAAAGTGAAGATGACGTTGCTCTAGACTATTAAACGGCCGACCCCGACGCACAAGGTGCATCGATTCTATCCAACGGCGCCTTAAGATATATTAAGGGAGATTATTTCATTTTCATTAGCAAATCCTGCAGGGTTGCAAAAAATTGGGCTTGCAAAAAATTGGAATCGTGAGAAGATGCAGCTTCCCGATCCGCAGATTATTGCACCTGATTGTTAATAAGTGAAAACTGCGAGATTTCTGGACTTTTTTGAAATGTCGTTGGTTTCCACTTGATTAATTATCGCTAATTGTGTTGTAGGTTTTAATACTACAAATGATTTCTGGATTTAACTCCGTAGCTAATATTTCTAGTTTTGTTGTGTCAATAAGTTTTAATCTTTGCCTTTTGTAACCTAAAACCCCTAATGTGTTTGGTCAAATTTGATGTAATATCCAAGGTTTTTTTAAACTAAATCCGTAATATGTTTTTTGGTCAAATTTTATGTAATATTTCAAATATGCTATATCCCGTGCACCAGATTTTTTTGCTAATGTCATTTAAAGTTTCCAAATTTGTACACATGTACACTCTCCGTCTATGATACAATTGGCCTTTTAAAAATTTGTGGAAGATTTACACTGAAGTTCCGTTTGACAGTGTTTGGTGACATGAAATGAAAATTTGAATAGAAGTGTCGATGAGTAAAATTTAGGGGTCGTGATGACGGGTGGCCGGTAGAGCTTGAGAGTATAGGTCGGTTTTGGATAGTAGTTTTCCGTAGCAAAATATATTGAATAATATAAATAATTACATTTGTGTTAGAAATCATGTGAAGTGAAATTGTGTGATATTCTGTGTGGGTGACTCTGCTTATGGATCCAAATGCTCCGACTGGCGGAGCTCCCAGGCCTCTTTAACTAGCGGGTATGGGTTGTTGGTGGTTCGACTCCACCTGGATCCCCCATTTCAATTTTTGTGCTACCGTGACTCGTAGTCTTGGCATTAAGGTTTCGTTTTTTATTTCACCAAAAATTTCAGAAAATATTTTTCATCAGTTTCTTTATTATCCAAATATAATAAGTCGAAAAATAATTTTTTGAAAAATGAATAATTTGAAAAGTTCTTTTCTATATTGCTTATGAAAGTAAATTAATGAAAAAAAATTACAAAAATATTTAGATATACATTTTCTGTTAATTAGGAAAATATTTTTCATTTACTTAATTATTTAAAATGATACAAGCAAAATGTTTTAAGAAAATATTTTTAATTTTTTTCGTGAAATAAATGAGTTATGAAATATGCGTTCTATGCAGTGAGTTCGTTTACTGTTTTGTTTCGTCGAATTAAATTTGCTCAGGTATCGTCCGCAGATGATGACTGAATCCTGTGCTCATATTATTATGAATTCCGACGGAAAGAACAAATTGACAATGTAGGAATTGTGAGCATTGTACGGTGATGGTGCTGCGCCCCTTTCTAGCTCCGGTAGTCTACAATACCAACTCTTTTCCGTTTTCCAAAATTTACTGATTTTCGACCTTTGCTCGCGCATTCGAATAGTGAAGTCCGTGATTAATAGTGGAATGAAAGTGGGGTAATGTAAAAGCTACTGTAGATTTTGTTGAAGTGATAAGGGTTACGGGTGTCTTTGTTATGTGACAATTTCTCACCAAAAACTCTAAATTTGTACACCTTGATAAATTTACCCAAACTAACGTTTTGATTACAAAAAACCTTAAATTGATACACTTGTGACAAATCTATCCTCTATTAGTTTCCGTTAAATTTTATTATCAAATTGCTGAGTTGGATGACATGTGGCGGTTGACGGGTGTACCGGTTTAGGGTTTTATCCCTCTATTTGTCATAGATTTATCAATTTATGGTTTTTCGTGGTATTGATTCAATTTAACATAGGGTAAATTTGTTGAGACGTACCAATTTGGGGGTTTTTTGTGGTCAAAAATTAGTTTGAAGTAAATTTGTCACAGGTGTACTGGATTGGGATTTTTGGTGGTCAAAAAATTAGTTTGGGATAAATTTATCACATATGTACCAATTTGGGGTTTTTCGTAGTAATTACCCTAAATTTATTATATTTTTCCCAATTTAGTTCATTCAGCCAATTTCGGCCAGAAATCACTAATGAGGACGCTAGGCATCTTATGTAGCACAGCCAGCATCGACGTGGACAATTTTTAATAATAATATAATATTTTTATTATTTTTTGTATTCTTTTCCTTTTTCTTTTCTTTTCTTTTTTTTACAACTCTAGCCGCTCGACATCGCTAGCTGGTCATCACCGGCCACAAGCGAGGGTTGATTTTATTGCTCTGAAATGATCTTGATTTCGCCAAACGCCCTCTTCTTCCTTGTAATTTCCGGCTCCAATATCGTCCCTAATTCTCGTTTGTACACATCCCTTCATTCAATGTACGAGCTAGCTTTGCTCTTGTTGTTGAACCCTCGCCCTTGCCAAATCCAAGCGAGGGCGTGGAGGCCCTCGCTACATGCCCTCGCTAGTGGCCGATGAGGGCGAGGGTCACTGGGCCTCATCGGCTAGAGTTGCTAAAAAAACAAAGAAAAAGGAAAAGATGAAAGATAAAAAAAAATTATTAAAAATTGTCATGTCAGCGCCGATCGTGCCATGTAGGATGACAGGAGTCAACGTCAGTAATTTACGCCCAAAATTGATCGAATGGATTCAATTGGCAAAATATGAAAATATTTATAACTCAATTAGCAAATAGGAAAGGTTTAGGACTAAATTGGAAAAATTGCAATAAATTAATGATTTTTTGAACAATTTATCAGCGCAAGGAATAGAGATTAAAATGAGTTTTTATTGGAGGATTACAACCTGTGGAGTCGGATTAACGAGAAAAAGAGAAATGGTGCAGCCAAGGCAATTTTCTAAAACCCATAATAAATTCATACTAAGTGTTCCCATCACTAAATGATAAAATAAATAATCCATACCTTTTTTTTTTCCAGATCACAGATATTCCTTTTCCATTTAATTTGCTGAAAAATTGCCATTCATAATTTTAATCCACTAAAGGTCTGGGCATCAAATTCTTACTTTACTTTTTGGCAAAAGTAAAATGGTAAAAAAGAGAGGAAAGTGTAGTAACTTCATTTTTGGAATCCTACAAGATCGAGCATCATATATAGGAATTGTTCGGAATGTTTCGTGCCTTAGACCAAATTCGATGAATTACCGACGTTGATGCTGCGGGTCTAACATGAGCTATATGCTCCTTTTGTTTCGCAGAAAGTGATTGATTTGAAAAATATTTTTATAAAATGATCGCATGACATAATCAATCAATGGCAAAAAGTCTTCGTCTAGGATCTCTCTCAGGTAGACCTGTTAAAAGGGTGGGTTGGGTTGGATTTGGATCGAGCCATAAATGGTCCGACCCAAATTGACCCATTAACCCGTTTATGACCAATTTATTTATAATGTAAATATCCCGACTCATACCCGATCCGACCTATATTGCTAAAATACTTTTATATTTAACTCAATATAGGAAAACTTATTTCTTATGACTTTTTTAAAAAATTATACTACTAACCCACGGGTAGCTCAGTTGGTTATGGTGTACTTGGGATTGTGTGGTTAGGCGCACTGGTCCCAGGTTCGATTCCCCGGCTGAGCACTTGTGATTTAAGTAGGGGGCCATGGCGGTGGGTTGCTGTGCTAGTCTCCCCCGAGGAATAGTTGAGGTGCGCGCAAGCTGGTCCGGATACCTCGGTTATCAAAAAAAATAAAAATAAATAAATAAATAAATATTTTCATACAATATAATTCATGACTTAAATGGATCATACACGAATTTTAAGACCCATTTCTAGAAGAATTAATGCCCGGATCAGGTATCCACGCCCAGGACAATTGAATTCGATGGATCGCACGTGAGAAAAAGATCGTAGCCGTACGATGCGATGACCTGCCCGTCCGAACGCACACGAGCCGTCGATTTGGTGATGAGGTGGGATGAGGACCTAGAAGATTGCATCTAAGTCAAATTGGGTTGGTTCTCTAGAACAAACGGAAAGAAGACGAGGGTGGTAGTTGTCCGAAATTGACTAGCGAGGCGCGCCACGCCTCGTGTTAGTTCCATATTCCCTCGTTCGGGATTTTTGTCGGTAACGGAAAATATATTAATAAATAAATATTCGCCGATATTTCGGGAAATATAACGCTACGTGCACGTCTGCCGACGACGACGACCTTCCCGCCTCCTCTCTTTTCAAAGTCGAGGGATCCTCCTTTTTCTTCCCGCGAGAATTGCGCGGGGGTACGGATCCTGCCGGGACCGTAATTTCCGGATCATTCTTCGCGCGTGGAAATCTGATCTCCGTGTCGTGTCCCGGCTCGTCGGGGCGTTCCACGGTCCTCCGAGCGATCCGATCGCTCGCTCGCTCGCGGCGAACGTACTTTCGGGATGTCGGAAGAAGAATCGATTCTGCTGCTGCTACTTCTTCAATTGGTAAATTTGGGGAGATGCCGAGGAGGATAGGCTTTTTTTCAAGTTGGGGGGGAACATATGCCTAACACTATGCGTCAACTAGCTCTATTTTTATATGGAGAAACCTCCGTTAGGTCTCTGTTAAATTTTACCGTCAAATTGTTAAGTCGGATGACACGTGGCAATTGACAGGTGTATCAGCTTGGGATTTTACCCTTCAATTGTCACGGCCCATGGGTTTACGAATTTACGATTTTTTGTGGTATTAATCCAATTAACGAAGGGTAAAATTGTCACGGGTGTACTGGTTTGGAATTTTTTACGGCGAAAAAATTAATTCGAGATAAATTTTTCATAAATACATCGATTTTGAAATTTTCCGTGATATTGACCCTTTTTCTTTTGGGGTCAAAGAAATTATTTAGGTTGTGTTTACTGAAATGATGTTTAATTACATAGTCTGTCGTGGCTATATTGTTTGCTTCCCATCAATTTCGGGTCTTTCTCCTCGCCTTTATTCGTTCGTCGTCTTCCTTAACAAACCGAACGTCGCTATAGCGGATGTGTGGCATGGACAGACGAGCAATTTTTGGACAGAAATATAAAAGGAAAAGGTGAGTAGATTCTTTTTTTCTTTTTCTTTTTTTTATCGAAATGCGACGTGCCGTATCTCGAAGTAACGTTAGAAATATTAAAATTAATATTCTGAATTGAATTTCCAAACGGTTCGATAATTTTAAGCGATTCTTTCGGATGACAGGAGCGTCCATCGAGTCTGTTTCGTAATAATGTCGGATGCATTGGCACCTTATCTCCAAGGTGTTCGTAACAACTATGGCCATATTGGCCGCATTTCTCCGCTAGTCCATAGAGGAACGCCGACACTAGACCGACGACATAGCTTGCGGTGCAGGCCACAAAGACACACAACAGCTGAGTAAGTCAGCTCAGTCATCGTCAACATCATCCGGTTCTCTCGGCATACTTAAACCGTTCCGGCGATCCACCAAATACATCAGCCGGTTTCGACGATTCACCGTGCTTTTTCCGGATTTTGTCGTCCAGACTCACGTTGACTTCTATGCATCTCGAGCGAGGGGATGTTAGAGATAATTAAGATATTTCCCCCCGCCTCTCGTGATTACTCACGCATCAAGTCGATTCTTCACATTCTCCTCAATTGTACGTATCTTGATTCATCCAATACAGCCCGTAAATAAGCTCATACATCCGGGGCACATGAATTCCACAGTTTTTCTATTTTGTATATGTCTTATCCATACTGATTTGAAATTTCTAATAGTATCAACCTATTTTAATTGGGTGAATTCAAAAAAAAAAAATCCTCAACTTTAGGTCAAGTCCCAAATCCATTCCGAACTTTTTTTTGTCTTAAAAAAAAATCCTAAACTTTAGATCCAGTCCCGAATCTGCCCCAATTTTGTTTTGTGTAAAAAAGAAAAGAAAAATTTATTTATTTTCAAAAAAAAAATTTTAATATAAAAAAACCCAATTTTTAGGTTGAGTCCAAATTTACCTCGAACTTTTCTTTGTCTAAAAAAAAGCCCCGTTACTTTGTTAATATGGATTTGTTATCGACGTAGAAGTGCCGCGTCAAGTTGAGACTGGATTACGGGATATATTTTTGAAAATAAATTGAATTTTCGTGATTTTTTTTTACACGAAACAAATTTTGGGGCAGATTTGGAATTGGACTTAAAGTTTGAAGGTTTTTTTTTTCGGAGATAAAAAAAAATTCGAGATACCCCACTCATGCAATCATTGGTTATGCGTACTTGAGATTGTGTGCTTAGACGCACCTGGCCCCAAGTGCTCGATTCTCCAAATTGAAGACTCAGTGATTTAAGCTGGCCACATGGGTGGCCATTGCTAGTCTTCCTCCCGAGGATACGAGATATGCATAAGTGTGGTCCTGACACCTGATTACAAAAAAAAAAAAATTCGAGATAGATTTAGAACTTGAGCTAAAAGTTGGGGTTTTTTTAAGGAATTAGGCCCATTTTAATCATAGAACCAAGATGGTTACCATATTGTCGCCGGCCGTGCGACGTGGGTCGTTTGAGTTGGCCCCCCCCCACTTCCGACGATCTTCGAAAAAGTAAAAGACCGATCGCCCATCTAGAAACCCCACACGTGTGCCCTCCCTTTTTCTCTCCCCGGTCAACAAAATCGACGACGCTATAATTATTAAAAAAAAAGATGTCAGACGACTTTTTCTTTCTTTTTTTTTTTGGTCGAATAAAAATCAGACAACTTCACGCGTCCGATTTTCACGCCCCCAATTCATATATCAATTCGATATTTCCTGGAAAGAAAAAAGAAAAAAAATCAATACGCGAACCCCGACCCGAGATGTAATTCCCGCACTTCGAATCGAAGTCCGCGCGACTTCGCATCCGGGGTTCGCTCGCTTCTTGTTTTTGGGGTCGCGTCCTGCTCGACCGATCCGTGAGATTAACGGCGATTATTTTTTCCGGGGGATTCCCGCAATTTACTTACCGACAACAAGAATTTTCTTATTGTTAAGGCCGCGAACGATAATTATTTTATTTTAAAAATTAATTTCTGGTAAAAAATTGAGATTTTTTTATTTCTGTTCCTGGAGGAGTTTCTGAATAAAAAAGCAAGTTTGACAATGATACAAAATTTCTATTCTAGAAAATAGAAATTTGTTTGATAACGGTATAAAATTTCTCCCTCTCGAGTGAAAGGAGAGTGGACGGCAGGAGATAGTGTCCGGTGAAAATAGAAAATAAAATCGCGTTATCAAACATATTTTTGTTCTAAACTTATTTTTAAAATAAAAATAAAAAAATAAAATGATTATCGTTCGTAGGAGCTATTATTTCAATGATTTTGCTACTTCTATCGTTTGTGGGACGAAGGAACAAGTGTCGCGCGCGCTCTCCATACAAAACACCCCGCCGTACGGACGGACAAGAAGAAGGGAAAGAAAATATCTTGCCCATTTTCCCGCGACTTTTATTAATTTATTAATTTTATTTAATTTATTCGGGGAATGAAAAAAAAAGAGGGAAAAGAGAGAAAAGGAGGAAGAAAAAAGCAGCTCCGCGCACTAACACAGTACTAAATACAACAGAAACTCCAAGGCCCCGTGTGGGAAAAAGTGGAGGAACTCGCGTCGTGCCATTTCCGTGAGTTGCGACGGCCGGAGGCATCCGTCCCCCTCCGCCGCCCCGCTCCGCCGCGGCACCGCCGCCGATCGCTCCCCCGCCACCACCTCCTCCTCCTCCGCCGTCTCCCGTCCTCCTCGTACGATTCCCGACCGAGTCTCTCTCTCTCTCTCTCTCACACGCTCGCGCACATGGATCGGGCCTCTTTGTTCCGGCTTTTCGCGCGGCTGTTCTGGTGGCGCGCTCCGACGAGGGCTCGCTGCTGCTGCTTGTTGGGTTTTCGGCCCTTCCCGTGTTTTCCCTTCGTCGCTGCTCTCTCTCTCTCTCTGTGCGTGCGTTTTCGTCGCGGAGCGGCGCTTTCGCGAGTGGGGGAGGAGGAGGGGGAGGGGGAGGGAGCGGGGGGTGTGAGCGCGCGTCGTTGCCCTTTTCTTGGGTTCCTTTCGTTTGCTCGTTTAGACGGCGAGATGGCCGGCGATAATGTGCCCAAGGAAGGAGGTTTCGGCTCGCGCGTCGACGATAGAACAGTGCTGATCGGGGTGGATCTGTTGATCCTAGCAGTACTGCGGAGTTTGCTCAATTACCGTCTCTCTTCTTTTTTTTTTTCCCTTCTTATCGCGAGATCTCTACACCGTTTGTCTTCGCAAGCCTCAGGAAAGAACTGTAGCGAGCGTTGACGAAAGTCAAGCTTTGACCTTTAGGAAATTTGCTTCCGCAGTTGTCTGTTAATCTTGCTTGAGTTTGTGATGTGGCCGCTTGCTGTGTATTTGTCGGTCTATTTGTTATTGGTTTCTTTTTTTTACTGTGCGGCTGTCGAGACTTGTCGCCTCGCCTTCAGTTGTAAGCAAGTTGGGTTTGCAGTTAAATGGGTAGCAGTAGCAGATGGCTTCTTTGCCTTATTTTAACATAAAAAAGAGTCCTTTTCGGAAATTGCCGCTGTTTGGCTCCATTGTGCACTTTCTTCTGGAGGAAGAGTTTCTTTTCTATTCTCGGTTCCGTTTTCATTTGATTTTCTGGGAAGTTCTACCTGGCTAGTGCACTTTCAGTTTGTTACTAGGACATAGCTGACTAACTAATTGAAGGCACTTGGCATTGAAGTGACTTGGCTCGTGGTTCAGTCCCACAATATATTTATTTGTTTTGTCATTTGTTTTCTGGGGGGAGCTGGATTTGTTTTACGTCTTCAGGCACGGTGGCACATTGTCGATGGGTCTGCATTTCTTCACACAATGTTTTTATTCATTTTGTTATTTTCTTTCCTGGGGGGAGCTGGAATTCTTTTACAGCTTCAGGCACAGTAACGCTATGTCAATGGGTTTGGATTCTTTCATGTGCTTGATGTTGCAGTGTCGCGTATGCTATATATGGGCTGTACATTTTGCACTGTAGCATCGGTGTGGTTGAACTGCAATACATCCACATTGCTCAATTATTCGATTGTTCTTTCATTGAACTTAAGGGCTTAGTTCTCTTGCCCTTCCGTTTTTATTCTGTTAGAGACTAGAGAGTAAAGGCTCCAGTTTACGCCGTAATTTATTTTCCCTTCTGTTTTACTTATGGGAAATATGCTCTCATTCCTAGTCTTTTGAATACTTGTCCATGTTCTTATATGGTGTGAGTCGTCACTTCTATAGTAGCCGATCAATAGTTCTTTCAAGATATATTTTTGATTCCTTCGATTTTTGCGGCTTCAGTCACCATGTTTCGTTGGAGGAGTAACTCTCACCACAGTGAGGAGGATGACTCACTGCAGTCCGAGTCCAAGGTAATTAAGATTTCTAAATTACAGCATTTGTAAGGACTGGACATTTCTTAGAGTGTAACTCCTTGATCGATTGCTCATATTCATCTGATTTCCATGTTTGACCATGTGGTTGACCTAAGTCAATAGCTTTTCCGGCCAGGAGAAACCATGAAATTGCCGTTATTGCAGATAATACTTCAGTGCCTTTATCTCCTGTATCTGTACCCCTTTCCTTATCAAGGGCTCATCTATGTATTTGCTGTCTCATGATGCATAGATTTTCTGAAGTTGTAGAATAATAATCAATGTTCCTTCCCAGAATATAGGAGAAACGCTGTTACATTTTAAGTCCATTTGCATCCAGGTGGATGAGCTTAAGACTGCTATGGGACCCCTCTCTGGGCGAAGGTTGAAGTATTGTGATGATGCCTGCTTGAGGAGATATTTGGAAGCTCGAAACGGGGACATGGACAAAGCAAAGAAAATGTTAGATGAGACGCTGAAATGGAGATCAGATTTTAAGCCCGAGGAAATCAGCTGGGTAAGATGGCTGAATATCCCGGTGAATGAATGCCTGCACAAGTATTGTGATAGATAATTTATGCCAATGGCAGTTGCCTGTTAAACTTCAGTAGAAGTCTGATGCTGCTTACCCTAACTATTGTGTTGACCTTAAATTTATTTTGTAGACTTAGTTCCTAGTACAGTGAAGAACTGATTTTGTGAATGAATGCGTATGCAGGATTGGTTTAATCTATAATAGTTGAGGGGCAATCATTCTTTTATGTCTTCTATGAGACTTGCTATGATGCAGTAATATAAAGCATTAGGTGTTGGAGAATTTATTATTCAATGGATAATAAGTGTACCGGTATATATTTGCATTCATGCGGTTACCAAAATCATCATTTAGATTGTTCTAGTTGACAATATGGCTAGTGAGCAGGTTGTGTTAGACATGAAATAGTACTTACTGGGATGCTGAATAATGCTTTCATTTGACAATGCGATGCTTACTAAAACAGGAAGAAGTTGCTGTTGAAGGTGAAACTGGAAAAGTATACAGAGCAAGTTTTCATGATCGTCATGGAAGGACTGTTCTTATATTGAGACCTGGAATGCAGGTACTTATCCAACCTGTTGTTGCTAATTTCTGTAGCTTTTATTTGCTCTTACCTATTGACATGGCAATGAATCTCGCAGAATACACAATCGCTTGACAACCAGATGCGACATCTAGTCTACTTGATAGAAAATGCCATCCTTAATCTCCCAGAGGGTCAGGAACAGATGGCATGGTTGATAGACTTCACAGGGTGGTCCTTGAGTACCAATGTGCCCATCAAATCTGCAAGAGACACTATTAATATTCTGCAGAACCATTACCCTGAGAGGCTTGCTGTAGCATTTCTATACAACCCTCCTCGCATTTTTGAAGCATTCTGGAAGGTTTAAAATCCAAGACTACCATTTATTCTTGCTTATTATTTCCAGATGATTAGTGTAGTGTCATAAAAGCATCGCATTCAAGGTTTTGTTGAATTTACATCAAATTCTAGAGAGTTTCTGTATACACCCTTTGCAAGGTGCTGCTAGATTCTCTAGTGCCAAGTGTCAACAACTGAGCTGATATGGATTCGAGATTCTAACAAACACTCTGAGGCAGTCATTAGTTGCTGCAATTCCTGATGGAGATACAATAGCATCCATTGCTTTTCTTGTGCACCGCCAAGAGGCCATATTCAACTCATACCGTAGTCCAGTGGCCAACAAAGAAAAGAGCAACATAGATTAGCCCCATCCTTACGTTTGCCTGCTCTCTCATGCCATTCCTGTCTCTTTTTCTGTTGCTTTTGGCTCTTGTTTCATCTTTGGGTAGGTACATCATCCATCCGTGCATTAGATCCTGGATGCTGTTGCAGTTGTGAAAATGCTTTACATCCATCATTTTGAAGGCTAATATCCCGAGACCTCTTTTTTTCTCTCACCTTGTTGTGCTGTTTATATGAGTGGTCGTATTTCCTCCCCTTATTAAATCCAAAAATTCTCCTGACCCAAAACTGACATGCTTCACATTTATTGGCGCAGGTCGTGAAGTACTTCTTGGATGCTAAAACTTTTCAAAAGGTTAAGTTTGTGTACCCAAAAAACAAAGAAAGTGTCGAGCTCATGAGATCATTCTTCGACGAGGAGAACCTTCCTACCGAGTTCGGAGGAAGAGCAAATCTGAAATACGACCATGAAGAGTTCTCTAGGCTAATGGCCGAGGATGATATTAAGGCAGCCAATTTGTGGGGATTTGATCGGCAACCTGAGAAGATCTTTCACCTTGGCAACAAGCATTCTGGAGCTGAGGTGGCTCCTGAGCCCGTCGCGGTTGCCCCACCAGCAAGCTGAGCATCTATACTGCATTCGGTAGGTAAATAAGCAGGCTAACATGTGCGCCCGAATGAACGAACGTGATGGTCATGAACCTGGCTAGACAGTATGGGTAGTTGCTAACTGTCTACGGCTATTCTCATTATTATATATTTATACAGAGCACCTACAGTTGACATAACTAGCATTCTGTCGGGATGACGTCCCTCTCTGTCTCGGGGACCTCTGTCTCGATTTCCGTTTCGGAAAAAAATTTGCACCATTGGTCCATAAACTTATGTACTTACAACTTCAATGCGATAATTAAATTCGACCCTATATTTTCATTGCGTTCATCTTCTCCCAATCATCTCTCTTTTTTACGTTCAATCTTGTCTTTCTATCAGAATTGCTGAGCCGGGTTAACAGGTCAAGTTCAATGTTACCCCGAACTTCTTTCCCGTGTTCGGTATGGGCTTAATTATGTCCATCATTCACAGGCTTGGCCAAGTTGGACTTGACTGGATGCCGTTAGTCGAACCTTAGCAGCGGCTGTTTGCCATCTCTGGAGGATCATTGAAAAGAAATGGGATAAAGACACTGACATTGTCTAATCAAATTGAATGTTGTTCCAAATTTTAAGGATCACTGATTTCATCATCATTCCTATCTTCTCTTTTTAACAACAGTTTCCATTATTCCCATTTCAAGGACTGTTTGAGGTATGAATAGTTGCTGTTGTAGAATAATTTACTGGTCGACGCTTCTCTGAAGTTGGCTTAGGATCCCTAACGCTTTACCTTCTTCAGGTTTCTTTTCATGTGTTTTGTGAGTCTATAGCCAAAGTATCATGCCTGAGAGATGGGTCGCTTGTCCGCTAGGGATGAGTATAGGTCCAGAGTAGAACCCGAAATGGACTAAATCGACTGTAGAAACCGGTTCGGTTTCAAAAAAAGTGAAATCGGTACTATGTGGCTCGGTTCCCGATTCTTGGATAAGAACCGAATCGGGAATCAGGAAGTGAAGCACGGTGAATCGCGATTTCATTTTTGAATTTTCTATTGTTTATTTTATTTTACGTGTTCATCTTTTATAGATTGTTGTTGATAAATGGGAATAATTAATAAAAATGAAAGAAAAAATGCCAGAAAAAAATGAAACAAAAAAGAAAAAATTGGCCGGTTCTTGAAGAGACCTGAAACCAATTGACAGGGTATGTTTAAGGGTATGCAAGGTAGGTTACGGGTTTTAAAAACTAGAGAACTGGTCGACGGGGCAAGTTCTTGGTGGAATCTGGACCGACCCTAAAGCAATCTATACTCTTGGCAATGCACACAAAAAGTGATTTTTATCGCTGAACATTACCAAGTCCCAGGAAAGAAACCTTTTTACAGCCACTCAAGTACATATATATATATGCATCACCCCAGAGATAACTCAAGTTAACTGCCTTCCCTCGGTTCACTGGATCTGTACAACCATTTCTCTCCCTCTAAACAGAGAAGATACCACAATAAAGCACACCAAAAATTGCTCACACTTGGCCAGGGAAACGAAACGCTTGGAGCCAAAATCTTCGGCGAGAGAAAGCACATCGGACTGGAAAGCCAGGAGGGCACAATCAGGAGGTCTCCGAAAATCATGGATTGTAGTATGGAACTTAAAAGAGGCGATGACCTACAAGAGCCGCCTTTTGAAGTTCCCGGTAGTTGCTTGGTAAGTACGAACGAGCAACCCTACCCCTATGCCGACCCCAACGCAGATGCCAAGCCCAATTCCAACTCCAACTCTCACTCCGGCATTGAACCACGAGAGTTCACCATCTTCGTATTCCATGAGTTCTGACCTCCGCCAGTACATGCTGTAGTCCTCGTCAATTTCTGGCTTGTAGTTTCTGTATCCGGCAATCTGCAATAACAAATCAGGGGTCATTTCGAGTGTGAATACTTTGCAACACCCAGATCAGGGATCATGTTGACGACAAATACTTTACTCCACCCAGACATGCTAGTAGCTTCATAAAGCTTATTCTTTAACAAAAATTGAACAGAAAGGTTAACACATGAGTGGCTGATTGGTTGATGCATCAGCATCTCCTGTGCACCTATTGACTATGTGCAAATATGTGAGCATAACCTTGCAAAGTTTCCCTTTTATGTATATATCCAATGTATTGGGATGTAACAGATAAGGAAAGAGGTCCAAAGTTCAGGGTCCAGCTTCGACAAGCGAACATACTAACTAATCACTTGATACACCACCTAAAAGATGTTAGATTGCCTGTCTAAGACTTTCTCATATGTTCCATCATTTCTTTGATTTAGTAATGCTCTGGACACCTTCGTGTGCATAACCAAGAAATATATCGAGCACTCTCTACCAAGAAGACCATAACGGAACTTTTTCATATATATATGACATGACAAACTAAATTCACAGAACCACGGACGTGTAGAAATTAACTTATACAAGAGTCAAGTGTCATCTGCATCTGCCGAAACTCATTAGAAGCAAAAGCAACTTGAAAGTGCACACGTCATTGAGCAACTTCGTTCAAATTGTAGGGGAAAATATTCACAACAAGGGAAACAGAGTATGAAGCAGCTCGAGACAGATATAAATATCTCTGATAGACTTACAAACAGCGCATTGTTCTTGAATGATGAAACCAAGAACGAACAAGCCTTACAAAATAAGCATGCATTGACCAAAGTAAGAACATGGTACTACTAAGAAAGAGAAACAAAGATGCAAAACAATTTTTTCAACCAATATATCATCCTTCGAGGAGACAAAGTACAAATTTGTGAACACCAGAAAAGTCTATTATCTGCACCTATCGCACTGCACGTGGATGTAGAGATATTTCTCTGTATTCTCAGAAGGTGAAGGCACCCTACATAACGACATATGACTTCACATCTATTAGGCAACCAAACACTAGAGAGATTTGAAAGTTGGATGCCAGACTGTGTGACACTGGAACTTAATTTTGATGACACACTAGCCTGGTCGTGCAGATCAGACTGCTCATTAATCCAATTACAAATGTTACAAATTCTTTACAAACTCACTCCACACAGTTATATGATTCCATTGAACATTTGGGTACGAAAGTGTCCAATGTTAATGTAGCTTAATTACATTTCCTGAAAGCTTGTAGATTATCACGGACAATAACAATATATGCCAAGAAATCAGAGGAACTGTATGGGCAGTAACAGAGGATTCGAAACCCACAACATCATGGCAGTAAGAGTAAGGCATTGGAATATTTGTTGTCGATTCTTATATTACATAGACATGGTCCCAGATGTGGATAAAGTTGGCCATGTTGTGGGTCAATCGAGGCCCCCATATGACATACTCCCTGGAGAGAAGGATATTAAAATAATGCGACAAACCAGAAAGGACACAATTTCCTTGAAACATATAGGATCTTTTTTCTTCCCATACCCCCATGATGCATATAGGATAAGATCCAATACTCTGTCAAGCGTCAGTGATCTAACAGACATGGGGCTTCTGCTAAAAGAAATGTCTAAGGATTGGAAGCATGTCGGCAGCTGTAACAGCATGAAACCTAGAGATATTGTCCCTGTACCTCTACGATTCAAGGATAGAAACTGTAAAAGGGATAGCATCCATTCCCTTCCCCTCTCCCCTACCCCACCCCACCCCGCCAAAATAATGTAAATGAATAGATAATTAAAAAGAAAAAACAAGAATTAGGAAGGAAGTGAAGTGTTGTGCTAATTTCTAACTACTGAAATTATAAGAGTCAATGGTTGTGCCTACTAAACTTTCCCGTTCATGTGCAAGCTGATAGGGCAAAGAAGGTCTGACACGTGTAAAGCACACAATATGTGAGGGCAATGAGAATGACAAAAGCCCTCAGAAAAAATGAGGAATACAAATGGAGACATGACGAACTGAACATAGGACACATTTTACTCTAAAGTCGTGGAATGAAGTGTGCTCCAAAGACTTAAAACCAGTACAAAAAACGCTGGACTGCATTCATTTCTTGCTATGAAGAAACATCGTAAGGCACAACACATGTGGGAGTAGATTAACAGCATTTGGGAGCACGGTACATTTGGGTTATCACAGCTTACCTGTAAGTCCAGTCCTGGTGACTCATCTTTATGGAATTCACTAGTTTCGTCCTCAGGAATCATATCCAGCATGCCTTTCCTAGCGTGCTTCTTCCGCAGGCTAATCTGCAATGTATTCGTCAAAATTATTGGATTTCCTGCAAAGCATCCAGTGACGTAAACCTCAATAGTTGGAGGCATCGACTCCGGTCCCATGTTATGTTCACCCTTCAATAAGCCATTGCCGATCGCCATCTCGGATTGACATTTCATGCTCCATCTCTTTGTATTTCCTTTTGATTCCCCCGTGGAGCCATTACTAGAACACATCTCCAAAACCCCTGAGAGAATTCGATCATCTCTATCAAAAACCTCAAATTGTACACTCCCTGTCAACCTTATAGTATCAGTGCTCACGAACGTGGCCTCTTCTGATCTCTTATCGATCCTGTCCCTCCTGAGAAGGCACGAGACTCCATCCGAATATATGCTACTTCTAGTGCCATTCACTTCGAGTAAAGTCTCAGGATCTAAAGGCATGTGATTAAGAGTGAGCGATTCGGGGGTCAAGTCATTAACCTGAAAATTACTGATCCGAACATAGAACACTCTCAAGTCGAACCAAGCCGAAGACAACTTGGTGCAGGGTTGGTAAGCAGAGTATCGGATCAGCTGGAGGCCATTATTATTTGCTACTTCTCCATTCGGGGTTCCATAGAGACCCTCCATGCTTCAGGAGCCAAATCTCAACGAAACCCTTTGATGTCGATCAAGAGAGTGACATGCGGATGGAATGGATTATACAAGCTGGAATCACCTGGACGATAAAACCTGTTCCAAAAGCAACACACCAATGAACATTCAGAAATACTGAAACCAGCGTGTCGTGAAAAAATCGCGTCGATAACTAAACAGAAAAGCGAAATTATCTCAAATGGTCAAGAGGCACAGCTAGAAAAATCAGAGGAGAGACAGAAAGAGGTTTTGCCAGGTATATATGTGCGAGAAGGAAAAAAACAAAACAAAAAAGAACCCTGTAATTAGCAACTAAAAGCCCTGATAACAAGGAACAGCAAAGAACAGATCGCGCATGCTATGAGCATCCTAGTATGCAGCCTCATTTGTAGGAAAATAAACCAAACAAGCCAGAGGACCAAAAAGATATGCATCCTTTTCCTCTTTCTTTTTTTTCCATGCATATGAAACAGAAAAAAGAACAGAGAAGAAAACAACACAAAACCATTCACAACCGAGCTCGTAAACAAGATGATTGCGAGCGAGCGAGAGAGAGAGAGACAAGTAGTTCCCTCATTCAATTTACCGGAAATTGAGCTCAAGAACGACTACTCTGCACTCAGAAATGCAGAGAAAATGCGAGATCAGAGAGAAAATTAGAGGCTCACGATGACGAATGAATCAAGAACGAACAAGAAAGCGGCAGCATACAAGGGGAAATCCAGAGGGAAGCAGAGAAGAATTCACTTGTCCATCTCAAATCAATCAGACAAGCATCTCATCAAGAAGCAATATTCATGTCACTCCAAAACTCTCTCTCTCTCTCTGGGTAAAATATGGGGAGGAATTAAATGAAAAAGAGAAAGAAAATAGAATGCCACATATATGCTTACAAAACTGCCGGCTCTTCACTAGATGCACCCTCGTATACGCCATGCCAAGACGCTCTGACTCTGCTCTGTTTCGCTCTCTCTCTTTCTCTGTGTCTCGCTTTCGCTTGATGCTGAATCGGAGACGCACGTAAGTCACATAAAAATCCTTCTTTGCTTTTCTGGGTGTGCGTCAAAATCACGCATTGACAATGTCAATCACCTCACCACATGAATCTTCTCTCTCTACGCTTAAACATCCAAAACGCGGCTGTTAATGCGACGGCAACTCGCTTTCGAACACCAACTTGGGACCCTTTGATTCCTCAGCCATAAATTCGGTGCCCCGAAGATTCCTCCTCTGTTTACCCACGCAAAAAAGAAAAGAAAAAGTCGACTTTTCTCTTGTTAATTCATGAACCTCTAATAAGTGCGTGATGCCAATTCGATTCTAGATATTTTAATTTCGGTTTCCAACCTGTTTTGACGATTTATGAATGAAGTCCTTTAAGCCAATTTGGATAAAAAATTTGCCAACGCAAAGACTAACATGACTGATGACCATCGAACGGATGGATCGAGTTAGGTCGGGTCCAAAATATTCCGACCCAAATAGATCTATTTAATTTGTTTTGATCAATTTTCATGCAATGTAAATCTAGTTACCCATATCCAACTCAACCTAATCCATATTGTTAAAATACTTCAATATTTAACTTAATCTATGAAAATTCGTACTCAAATTGAGATAAGAGTGCGAAGTGACTGAGCGTGAGATCGAACGAGAGCGAGAGAAAATGAAGAGAAAGTTGTAGATGTGGGTTGGGTTTAAATAAGTTGTAAATTCATTTATGACCTATTTAATACCCATATTTTGTCTAAACCCATTTATGACCCATTTAGTGAATATATCTAACCCATATAACAACTCGGCTCATCATATATGGGTTAACAAATCAGTGTAGACTCATATTGATAAGCCGAGTCAGTGCCGACGCGAACATTTCTTACAATTTTTTTAAATTTTTTTAAATTTTTTCCTTACTTTTCTTTTCTTATTTTCCCAATGTGGGCCGACGATCGTCTGACGAGGGCCGCGGATCTGGCAGGTGAATGTTTAACAAGTGCCCATAAAAAATCTTTTATTTACAGAGTTCGCAAAATCTAACGATCCCCTCAACTTGTCTCGTGTCCAGACAACGACATTGGATATGTTTGTTAACGTTACGTACTATTATTATTATATTGAGAGGATGTAGCGTAACATGGGGCTTTGGATCTGACCATCACATGTTGTGTCCTCGTCGTCTTCTTGATCTTATCCAGAAGACTAGATTTCGCGTTCACGAGGTTGGACGGTGTCTTTTGAGTCCTTTGCCCAATGTCTTGAAAGGGGCCGTCGAGTGCTTGGCCACCAACCAGACGTCTCTTCGCTCTAACGTTGAATTCGCTTCGACATGTTCGGTGGCGAATTGCGTGGAAGACAAGGAAAGCCCTCGCCTTTCCTTAATCTCCACACAATTGACTGGTTGCCGGAATGAATTAAGGGAACAAAAGAGAAATTTATTACGAAGTTCTGAAGTCTTCTTCTTCTTAATGTATGCGTTCCATTCCAGACAAAAACTGAAGGGGCCAAAGGAAGATTACATAAAGAAGAGATGGAAGTGCTTTGACAGTAAGGTCGCGTCGTAGCCCCACAAACGAGGATGGCAAAGTGGTCGTATTGTTCTTGATGCTCAAACATCAAAAGGGACACGGAAAAGGACGAAATAAGATGAGCCGCAGAATGGACTTTTTTTTTGTGATTTTACTGCATCCAATTGAAAAACCACCATATTGATCAGTGTCAAATTACTATTTATATTATAATAACTACTGTCAGATTAAGACAACTTAAAAGTAGTTTTGGAGGCTGACCGATTCGTCGGTTTAACGATCCAGAGTATGCGGTCTGCATGAAAATTTATATACCAGAGAGAGAGAGAGAGAGAGAGAGAGAGAGAGAGAGAGAGAGAGAGAGAGAGCAATGTTATGAAGCAGTCACTTTGCTTCAAGAGTCAACGACGAACGTCGTTTAGAAGCAAAATGTGTCCAGATAAGATCATCTCATGAATTTTTTAATGTACAGTTCAGTGGCAGTGAACTCAATCATCATTGCCATGAAAACCCAGAAGATGTGAGACCCCAGAAGGAAGAAAAAAAAAAGGGAACATATGCATGAGATCATGTTAAACAAGAACAAGCGATGCTATGCCGCGACAAATCACGGCGGCATCACTCCTCTTCTATACAGTGGGAGCAAAATTCGCCTTCGACATCGATTTCTAAGATGAAAAAAGTATGGCCAGGGATTTATGGTATGGGGCAATCTGTGTTTCTACTGTCCTAGAGTGAATGTTGATTATTTAATCGTGCCCTCATGGTCGCCATGTGGTTTTTTGCGCGCAGATGATACCCTCCTTATCCTTTGAAAAAGTCATCCGAATCTCCCAGTGCAGGCTTTTAAATATACCTTCCAGCGGATCAAGTATCTCGACCTTGTCGCGTATAATCGCCCAACCTCCAGGCCTCAAGACTCGATCCATTTCAACCACAATAGCCACCGGCTGCTTACACCTGTAAAGAACGAGAACCGAAAAGGAAAGCTAAATCACCACGCTGTTATTGAATTCAATGGGTTCAACCTATAAAGAAGTAATACAAAGGAAAGCCAATCATCCACACATCAGGGTTCAGAAAAATGGATTCACAATAGCAGAAGAACTATTGCCCTCTCAAAATAACATGAAACAGGAGTCGATAAACATATGCATGTTACTCAGTGGGACAGAACCTGCTGCATAAATTAACATCTCAAACTGGCTAAGCAAAAAATCGCAAGTAATGGCATGACGATAATCCATGCTATAAAAGTATGAGACGAGAAGTACAGAATAGATTTCGACCAAAAAAAAAAAAGTGAAAAATAGATAAAATTGCAATCTGTCATATGCCTAACATTATTCAAATTGGGTCCTCTATTACAATATTGCTTCCCATAAAATTGTATGGGCAGAAATGGTTCATGATGGTCTCAAATCACAAAACGTGGCATCAATGCACTTTAAAGCAGCAAGAAAAAAGAAACTGAATGTAACCCATAGATGCAAAATCATTTGTTCTCGCATAAAATTTGTCATGACATTCACCTCTTGATTGAGCTCCACCTATATCTATCTATATAAGCATACTATAATAGAGTGCTTCTAAAAAATCACCTCTCACGATGACATGTGGGATTCTAGCTAGCTATAAAGGCCTTCTCCTTATTGGAAACATTTTATTTGCCGCATTCTCTACCAAAAAAACTCCACCTGAGCGCCATCTAAACATGTATTTACCACCCACTATGGAACATTTGTTATGATCTCTTTACTTTAACGACTTGCCTATTAGCAGAGTTACATCTGACTACCTACTTAAGATTTTATGTTTGTGCCATAAGAATCATCTTTCTTTTGTAACTACCCTTATTAGCTTCTGACATAATAACGTAACACAAAGGACTTCTCGAATTAAACTATTAGTACATAAAAATTGTTATGACATATAAATACGAAATATGATGGGTCATTTGAATAGATTTTTGTACTTTTCAGTTGCTCCAAAACGTAATAGTCTATGTATGTGTATACTTTAATCATCGAAAGATACATTTACATAACGTTTCATTCACGCTTAGATTTTTCATGCTTCATTTTAATTGATTTTTATATGATAAATCGAGTAAAGCGGGGGTTTATGCCTAGTAAATACATAATAATGACAGTGTCTTATCAAGAATTGCCTCTTAAAAGTGACACTATATGGCTAGAAAAGCTTCATTATCATTGCAAGCATCGTTTCCTTGCATTCTCCTCAAATAACGCTGCCACATCAGATTTAGAGGGATGGATTGCGAGTAAACCAAGGGATGATCAAAATGATAGAAGCACTCAATAAGGAAGATGATATGTTTACATACTGGCCTCTATGTTTTTTGTTAATTATGCTGTTAATTGCTTTCAACAGCTTATGTTCACGTTAGGAAGGTGTTGGCAATTGCTTGACGTTATATAAAAATCATACATGATTGCTTTTCTTAAATTGGCAATTATTTCCTAAATCAAAGGATTTGATTACTTCTTTACTTAGCAATCACCAACATTACAGATTCCGCATTGTTCTCCAGAAACTTCTTTTCATCATTTCTTTGCGTCTATCTGTATTTTCCTACAAACCCATAAAAGAATATGTCTTCTACCCCCTAAGTTTTTCGCTCCATTTAGCAGGACTGCATCTTCTGTGGTTCACTATTTGGTGTTGAAATCTTCACAAGTTCCATTCTTCCAATTCTAATATTTTGATGGAAGCTCATACACGAGGAGGAATGATGTGAGTTAATTATCGATTTTGTTTCTATTTAGATTACATTTCTATGTGCTTTTACATAGACAAAAGGTTCTCTAACACATTACTTAAGAGAGTTGAAAAACACATGGCTACTCTTAGCAAAGAGATCTAATAACGATAGATGGGCATGCAATGAGTCAATTTGGTCGATTCCTGTTATTCTTGATGATGAATAGAGACTCACGAGAGGGCAGCAAGAAAATCATGAGGCAAATGTAAAATGTGAAGAAGCCAAAACACCACTTAGAAGAGAGGGGTGGTCCTGTGCTAACAAGAAATTAAAAAAGAGTCAAGTAGTTTATTATAGGAGATTTTCATTACCTCAGATTTTAGGTATTCGGTTTCTCCATTTTCTCCATTACTTTCAAAACAAGCTACAATATAAGCGATTATTTTAATCAAATTACGAGTTTTTTTTTTATCTGTTGGTTATTTTTCAGTCTTGTGAATTATAGTTTTGGTCTCAAAATACCATGGGCTGCTCAACAAATTTAGGCAAGATATGGTTTTCTTCAATTACAGCTATTACAGTTTCTGTCAAAAAGGAAGTTGTGCCATAAGAATGGATTAATTCAATTAAGTATTGTCAGATCAAGGCCAATCCATGTAGGAAAAGATGGCCAGCAAAGAAGCATTCGACTCTATTAAATTACAAAGATCCTACCTCATAATTCTTTCGTGAAATACTGTTGTAAGTTTTGTTTCTTTGTGAGAAAACACATCTTGTATCTATCAATTAATATTACTAAGAAATCCCATGCAAAGCACGGGCCATAGCCTATTAAGATAATAGTTTGGAAATTCAGAATCTGACTTCTAGTATAGTTAACCACATTTCGGAGAATTCTATTTTATCAAGGACCAAAGCAGGATTCAGTGTGTACTGTTCGATAATTAATTTGAGAGAGAGAGAGAGAGAGAGAGAGAGAGAGAGAGAGAGAGGGGTTAATTCTCACCTGTTTTTGAGCCTTGAGAAGAGATGATCAGCATGCAAAAGATCATATGATCTTGGATAAGTACCAAATGACTCACACCAATCATGATAAATACCGACAAGACCACGTTCATATATGAAAGGCAGTGTATCTGGAGCGTGCACGGGGACCACATTCATCACCCACACCTTTTGTTGGGAGAGAGCTGCTGCAAATCTGTAGATAATATTTTTGTAACGTCAAAATTATAAGTCACAAATAAGAAATACATGCATGAATGTGCATTTTTGTGCAGAAAAAAGAAGCAGACTATAATGTGCATAAAAACCATCTACATCCTCTTTTGTCTCCTATGCACACAGATACACTATAAATGATAAGACTTGCATACCCTCCATAAATCGCTTTCATGTCCATTACATTCCGGACATTGGCCCAGTCTACACCCATCCCAGTGAGATAAGACTTCTCGACAATAGCTTTCCAGTGGTTAGTGTCAGCAACCAGTTTATCCTTATTATTCATCCAGTCAGGAAAAGTTTCAAGCCTCTTGGGCCACTCTTCAGGCCACTCTGTTCCACGCTGTTCAATTGCAGCCGGAATGGTGTGCAAGCAAGTTTTTATGGGAACATACCTGTCAATTAATGTAAGAATTTACAATTCAGCAGCTGAAAACACTTGCAACAAAATGATGTGCAGATGAGCTACTAAATTGGAGAATGAAAGATGACATGAAGAAAAGAATTTTCAGATGGCATGAATACTTGCTCTCAAAATGATTGTTGTCTCCTTTCAATGGCAATTGGCGTCGGGATCACTCTTAACAAAAAAAACCAAAAACAACCAGGCCTCATCCCACTAAGTCGGGTCGGATATATTAATTCTATATCGCCATTGTGCTTGATCATTTGTTAGATTCTCTGTGAGCTCTAGATGTTGCATATCTTTCCTAATTGTGTCCTTCCACGTGCTTATAAGCCCTACCCCTACCCCTTTTAACCAATGTATCCAATCCTTGTTTACATTGCCCCACAGAGGCACCTGAAGGCCTTCGTTCAACATGGCCAATCCATCTTGGACGGCCTTCTCTTATCTTATCCTTAATTGGAGCAATGCTTACTTTTTCCCTAACAGCTTCATTTTTTATTTTATCTATTCTCGTGTGCTCACGCGCCCAACGAAGCAATCCTCATGTCTGCTAAACTTCTTTTGTGCATATGTTGTTGCTTAACCGCCCAGTACTCAGTGCCATAAAGCATTGCTGGCCTTAATGTCATCATATAGAATTTCCCCCTGAGCTTATGTGGCATTCGTTCGCACAAAATCCCATGTGCACTTCTCCACTCCATCTATCCCACCTGTACTCTATGGGTGAGATCTCCATCTATTTCCTTGTCTTTTTCAGAATGGATCCACAATAGGAGAAACATTCACTCCTTGGGACTCGTCTTCAATTTACACCAAGGTGTTTTTTGGACTTCTGCCCTTACAAAACTTACACACCATAATAAGGGCAGAAGTTCAAAGGACCCCTTACTTTATGAAACTTGGATCATACAAATTCCACCATCACTGTAGGTGCAGGACCATCTTAAGCATACTATTTCATACTATTACCTCTTCCACAAGCTTTTCCCATCACATTTCTAGGCAGCATTATATTTTCCATCTGCTCCTTTGATTTGGCATGGGCATGTTGTTACTAGAATTGCTTGTTGCAGGCCACATGCATATGATTGCTAAGGTTATAGACATATAATAGGGTAAACACAACTTTGGGAAGTCACCACTGATGGAATCAATCTGTTGCCTCACAATAACGCTGCACTGTTTCAGCAATAAAAAAAAAAGTTCCAAAAATCTTTGCCACTCAATCACGTGCACTCCATCTAATTTACACTAACTTAAAAATATGGAGCTCCCACAAAATTATATAGATCAATCCAATTTCAATTATGTGCCTTCTGGTCGCCACTTGCAAGCTTAAAGGACAAAAGATTCCTAAGTGATAGAGCTCAAATTGTTTAAGTTACCAGTGGATAGAGTCTCCGACAAAAGAGTGCTTAATTTCAACTGCACATGTATAAAGAAAAACCGGTATTTTCAGCTGCTTTTGAGTTATATTTACCCCTTATATCTTACTTTTCAGGGAATAAAGACTCAACAGTAAAGGAGTGAAATTAAATATATCAGTACCGTTAGCTACATATACATCAACGGATCATCCCAGCTTACCAGGCGGCATCTGGATTTTCATTTTCTTTGCATAGAGGTGGATTTTTCTTCCTTCTCAAATCATATATATCATTTGACTCTGGCTTCTGATATATCTTGACACCCACTTCACTGTCTTCGTCAGTTTTATGGGCCAGTATATTCCAACAGATAGATGCAGTTAATGTGGACATGGCTGAAAGAAATTAACACATTAAAAAAGTAAAATGAGGATTTTCGTAATGTGTGATGCAGCACGACAAAAACTGGAACAGCTAGCCTGCAAAGGATAATGCCTTACTTCTAGTTGATAAGAAAGGCATGACAAACATTTCAGACAGCACAAATAGGGATTCAAATAGTGAGTTGAGCATTTACGCAGGGTGGGGGTGGGGGGAAGTCAGTCGTCTTCATTGTTAGCAATAAATATTAATGGACACCCCTTCAAGTATCGAAAAATGGAAGAGGCAGAGCATGATAGATCTAGTGTATTACTTCAGCTATTAAGTATCCAAGAATGAATTGAACTCAGTGGACAGCAGTTGAAACAGCAGGTAGGACCACGAAACCTAAAGTTGACCTGCTCATATATCACTAAAACAACGATGAAACCAACCTTCTACTTCTTCGACACTCTCATGCCGACTCGACAAAATAAAGTACCCATTGGGCCTCAAAATCCTGTTCATCTCCAGTAGAAGCTTGCCCCCTGCAGTCAGAACAAAGGAAAATTTACTTGATGACAATAGTACAAATTGCATGTAACAGACAAAGAACCAACATAGAAAGAGAAACAGAGAAGCAAAACAAACCATTATGATGCCATGGTATATTGCAGCTTCCACAGTGTATAGCATCAAAAACCATACTCGGAAAGGGAAGCCTTCTAGCTGCAAAAGGGCTAACTACTACTGGAAAACCACGTTCCAGGGCAACTTGAGCTAAATCTACGAGGTCATCTTTCAAGCCTAGGGATAAAACCATCACGTCCTTGTCAAGTAGAGAAGCAACAAAGCTTGAATCGGTGCACCCGATGTCCAATACAACACGTATGTTCTTTCCCCATTCAATATCTGGTACCATCTATAAATGCCGATCAGATTCAATGGTGATTAACAGCCTAGCATTATGGATAAATAGCAACAATAGCTTGCAAACATATGGCAAAGAAAGCATCATGGTTGCAAATCAGAACGTTGTAGCTAGATAAGTTTATGCATATTGGAATAACTAACTATTGCCAGGTTAGCAATTAAATTTGCATGAAAGCAGTATGGCTGCTCTTGCCTAAACAACAGACTTTTTCATTTTGTGTTACGTGTATGAAGAACTTTAATACATTGACATTTGATTAGCCGGTCGACAAGATCATGGGGGACACTCTCAAGGAAATCCATCATGCTCGATGTAAAATGTCGAGGTAAGATCCTGAGTTTTCAATAAGGGGCAAAGGTGGAGGAGCCACAACAATAAAGTACTGGAGATGCAGATATTCGGCAGCGATGAGGTGGTGACCCCTTGCAAGGGCAACAGTCAACCACCATTTAGATGCTACTGCTGCTAACCATTAGAACAGAAAAAGTTAAACATAACTGGAGGAACAAATGAATAACAGCATCACTATAGAAAGTCTTGTGGCCTTTCGTGCAATTACTATCGAGTGCCCTCATTCACATTTAAAAACTAGACTCAGTCCAACTTAAAGATAGTTCCCAACCACATTATTTTAGAAAAGGTGTATAAAAATGTGACAATTTGATATTCTGACCAATGTGTTTCAGAAGGCAGGGAAGCCTGTAGTTAGCAACTTAGCATGTGCATCCCAGAGATGCTTCCGTGCAAAATTACACTATCCACCGTAGTTTCAACACACACATTTCAACTAGGCCTTTTGGAGCTGGTGTTTGCGTCAGGAAACAAAAAATAAAAAGAAAAACACGCAGAATTAATAGCTCCTTTATATAAGTGGAAAATGTGAGGCCTTGTCACGTGCACCCAAGAAAAAAGGCAATGAAAGAAAAAATATGTACTACAAGATAACAGGAATGGAATCAAACATAAGAAAGGAAAATTTGCTTGCACAAGTTATGGCATTAACTATAGTTTGAAAACTAAGCTAAAAGCAGAAAACAAATTAAGCAGTCACACAATATAAGGAGAATTGAAGACCACATACTAACCTCTTCAATAAATTCAAGGTAGTGAAGAACACCCTTTCTATATTCAGACTGGTTTGTATGAAAGATAAGATACTCTCCTGATTCATTCACCCAATTGTGTTTCTTAATGAATTCAGCAAGTTTTGGATGTGCCACATTCTTATGGAATATCTGCATGAGATTGCACATTAGCACTAGAGCAGATCTTGGCTCGGAAGAACTGAAAAGCTCCATCAGATCGTGGTTCTCACCTTCAATGTGCTCTCTGGCCACCTGATTGGAGTCTCATAACCCCCATGAGGAAGAGGAACCAAACACACTGGAGGCGCTCTTGGGCAACTTCTCTCCGTATGCCGATAAATCTGGAGCCTTCCCGAACCACCCTCATTGTCGATACAAGGAAGGTAATTATGCTTGCTCCTCGTGCTACATAATTTCCAACTATAGTGTGCTTTTGGATCAAATACCGGACCCTTAATCTTCCTCTTCTGCCCCGTACTTTTTGACCCGTCATTCTCTTCTTCCGCTTTCTCCGTAACTTCCTGATCCGTTGATTCAACGACATCTGCACCTGCGTCTCTCTCTTCATTGGACTCTCCTTCTTGATTTACACCTTCTTGATCTTCCTTGCCATCCATCACTGGTTCTTCTTCTTCTTCTTCTTCTTCTTCTTCTTCTTCTTCTCCATTCTGATCATCCTTCTCATTCTCTAACTCTCCATCCCCAGATACATCAACCGCCTTTTCCTCTTTCCTCTTTTTCTTGGGCGACTTCGAATCAGCCTTCTCCTTCCTCTTGTCAACCACCTGCTTTTCATTTCGTTCTTGCGATCCACGAACAACACTAGACAAAGAATTTTTGCTGTCCACTGCCTTCTGGTCATTACTTTCCAAATTAGACTCCGATTTCACCTTACCATCCTCTTTACTCCCCTCCTTTTTCGCCGGTTCCATCTTCCCCGATTGAGTCCCGGACTTACTAACGACCCCCGCATCGGCCGATATCGGCTCGTTGATGTCGTCGAAGCTCTCCCTCCGGGTGGTCGCGGAAGAGGAAGACGACGAGAACATGGACCAAATGAATACGAAACACAGCCCCAGAACGGCCACTGCCGTCATCTTCACGCACAGCCCGTGCGGCTTCTTCGCCTGGCGACCCAACCGAGCCAAAGCCATTTCTGCTCAATACCCAGATCAACGTTCTCCGAGAAAAAAACAAAGAACACAGCTACAGAGACCGCATTGACACAGAAGAACCGGGAGTTGCCAAAAGAGGGAGAGGACTCGATCTAGAACCCGATCTTCTTCTTCTTCTTCTTCAGAAGACGCGGCGAGGCGAAGCGAAGCGAGATCCACCCGCTTCGTCTACCGAAGCAAAACGGAAGCAAAAGGGCACCGAGATGACGAAGCGGGAGAACAGGAGATCGACCCCACGAACGGAAACAAGCATCGGAAACATCAAACGACGGCGAGCGGCGGAAGTCGAGGGGGATCGCGAGGGACGCGAGAACCGGGGGAGCGAGCTGGAATCGAGCCCGGCCGCCGGAGCTCTAGCGGCACGCCATTGTCGAACCGGTGCAGAAGGAACGGAGGAGGAGCTCGTCGGACCAGAGCAATGGAGTGCAGGCTAGAGAGAGAAAGAGAGGGAGAGAGAGAAAGAGAGAGAGGGAGGTACTGAGGGAGTACGTTGAAGCAGCGTTGTCCGAGGAAGGAGAAGAGACCTTCCCCCCTGCTCTGTTTCCGTCGTCTTTTTTTTTTTTTTTAATTTTTTAATTTTTTTTTTTGGATGGGATGGTAGGAATTTTACGAAGCGAAAAATCTCGTGTAGTCTGTGGTGCGTGGGATTTAATTATAATAATATCCGTTGGCTATTTCAAAATTTTACGTAATAATCGCGTTGGTCATCTTTTGAGAAAATTCCAAATAAAAATCCAAAGTGCTATCATTTTATCAAGTAGACGTCAGAAGTGAACCATGTGTTGAACCTTGTCTCAAATAAGAGTTTGAAGTGGCTATCTCAGTTTAAAAAAAGGTCTCACCTCACCGGAGTTAAGGGCATTTTCGTTTTTTAATTTTTTTGATATTTTTTCCTTTTCAATTTTTTTCAATAAAAAACAAACTCAAAAATGATAAAAAAGCTAAAATTTAAATAAAAAAAACAAGGGGGAGGCCAGCCCTGCCTGTGGCCGCCGCCCCATCGCCAATGGAGCGGCGGCGGCAACCCTTGTCGACTAGAGGCTAGGGCCAGAGCTGGGAGAGGGCGGCAACCCTCTCCCAGATCGGGGCGAGTGTTGCCGCTGGGAGAGGGTCGCTGCCCTCTCTCGGCTCTGGCGAGGGTCACCGGCCCTCCCCCAGACCAGGGTGGGGTCCGACGATCCTCGCCCAAATCTAGGAGAGGGTCATCGCCCTCTCCTGACTCTGGCGAGGGTCAGCAGCCCTTGCCTCTCGTCGGCCCTCGCTGAGGCACCGGTGACCCCGTTGACCATCACCGCCACCTCACCGGCGATGGGGTGACAGCCATAGGCGAGGAGAGCTGGCTGCTAACCTTGCCCCCTGTTTTTTTTTTATAAATATAATTTAACTAAAATTTATGTTAAAATTATTTTTGGACGAAAATGCCCTTGGTCGGCTGGAAAATTTGGCTGGCCGGCGGGGTGAGGCCTCTATTTGAAATTATTATAGTCATTTCAGGTCATTATTTGAGAACATAAGTCCACTTCATGCCCTTATTTGACATAAAGTTCATTTCATGCTCTTATTTGAGAAAATGAGATCATTTCGGATCCTTATTTGAAATTTTCTCTCTTTTTTTTTGCAAAATTTGAGTGTTTTCGATTGGGCTCGATTTTTAGATCCTGTGCATGCAAGAGTCTTCTCATAAAATTCAATGCACGCCGTGTAGGGGTTATCGGTTCCTGGTTCATAGGGAAGGATTCTCAGTTTTTGGAATCAGGCTGGTCCGGTTCGATTTTCGGATAGTCTAATGGAACCGGTCGCAACCTCACGAGTTTTGAAAAGGAGGAAGACTTCCACCACTATGTACGAAAAACAGTACTGGATATGACCTTGATGAGATGCAAAAAACAAAGCAAGAGAAGGAGGCGAGAGTCGAGATAGCAAGAGGGAGGCGTCGAGCTCAAGCGAGAGGAGCGTGACTTAGGCAAAAGAAGGTGGCGCCGTCTAAGAGTCGAGCAAGAGAGTGACTAAGAGAGCCGTGAGTCATGAGCGATAATCGAGTGAGAGAGGCGTGAGAGTGAATCTATGATTAGAATTTTTTTTAAGATTTTTAAGAAATAAAAAAAAGAATCAGTCCAGTTTGGGTGAGCAGTTCCACCCTTGGAACCAGGAACCAAACTGAAAGTCACCGGTTTAAATTTTTTGGAATCAGGAATCGGACTGGTGATCCTGAAATTGCCTAAAACCGATTAGCTCAATCCGGTCCGGGTGGCTCCTCTTGCTCACCCCTAACGTCGTGTATCGAATCTCATTCTATAATATGCGACTTTTCTCCTTATAATCTCTTGTTTTGTTCTTGTATTTCTAATTTCATCTCGTACGTCGAGATAAGTTGCAAATCGAGTTACGTTCTCTCGCGATTAATTCAAGCCTATGGTTGAATTGATAAACATGTTTTACAGAAAGAAACAGACGGAGTAACCCAGAACGATAGGTTGTTGATTTTAATGGAGTAATCGGGCTTTCGAAAAGCAGATATTAATTAGGTAAGTTAAAAGGATAGAGGAAATTGAAAAGTTCGGCCGCCAAGGAGTCAGGCACGTGCGGCTCAGATGACCGCAACAAGGGGGAGAGAGAGAGAGAGAGAGGCGGCGCTATCTAACCTTTGCCCATGTGATTCGGTCACATGTCTCGGGCCTGCTCGAAGGCGCGACGAAAATGGGCCGGAAGGCAAAGGATATGTAAGTCTCTTGTTTTCTTCTTGTATTTCTAATTTCATCTCGTACGTCGAGATAAGTTACAAATCGAGTTACGTTCTCTCGCGATTAATTCAAGCCTATGGTTGAATTGATAAACATGTTATACGGAGAGAAACGGATGGAGTAACCCAGAACGATAGGTTGTTGATTTTAATGGAGAAATCGGGCTTTCGAAAAGCAGATATTAATTAGGTAAGTTAAAAGGATAGAGGAAATTGAAAAGTTCGGCCGCCAAGGAGTCGGGCACGTGCGGCTCAGATGACCGCAACAAGGGAGAGAGAGAGAGAGAGAGGCAGCGCTATCTAACCTTTGCCCATGTGATCCGGTCACATGTCTCGGGCCTGCTCGAAGGCTTGACGAAAATGGGCCGGAAGGCAAAGGATATGTAAATTAATGATTGGAAAAATAATTTTCTAAAAAAATATTATTCGTGTAGTGGAAATGTGTATACATAAATTGGTTATCGATAATGAAAGGATCTTCATTGATTGATTATTTTCAGCGATAGAAACGATTTTTTGGAGATTTTTAAATTATTCATTTTACGCGAAATAGGTTTTGAGTCACGAATGAAGCACCTTATCGACTACCAAAAGTCGGGCCGATGACCTTATACTATGGACCTAAAGAAAAAAAAAGAAGAAGAAAATTTGAGTGTGCGACGACTTAGAAATCAAATTGGCATATTTGATTTCTAGTTCCTGCAGAGTTACATCAAAGCAATTCCCAGCATGTGCTTTCATATACGAACCCTCAAATATAGTTTGACTTTGATCTGTGCTCGGTTTGTTCGGTTGGGCCTAGCATTGTTTTTTCGCAGAATCTTGCTGCTTCCGATTTTCAAAGCATCTCTCTGGATACTACATGATTCCTAAACCGGGAGTTCGAGGTAATTCTGCATCGAAAAGCGAGAGTCGCGACCATTTTGAAATTCCATCAAAGCGAGAGTCGCAACCATATTGCAGAACCAGGTTGAGCATGATGAATATGAAGTATCGCCGCTCCGTTGCCTCATTCGCAAGTCGGATATGGATCGAGTTACTTATGTTTTACCCTGTCATTCGCGTACGGTGTCAGCAACATCTTCGGTTTCGAAATTTCCATGCCTATGACCGTATCGATAATGTGTGCAGCCTATCTGATTTGCAGGTCATCCTGTTCTATCGTATAAATTTTCAGAGTCAGCCAGCTTCTTCTGCATCATGGATAGCGTAGAAAAGGCCCACTAACATTAGACTATTAGCCTGTAGTTTTGTTCATGGCTTCAAGGATATCTCATCAGCAACATAGTTCGCTAGTATCTATCAATGACCAAACTTTTACAGGAGTACCAATGTGCTTCATCAAAAATTTCAGTTGCATCGTCCGAGATCAACTGGATGAAGGAAAGAATGGTTCATGAAACTCCGACCCACTCATTGGGTCGGATCTGAATCCCCTATTCACAATTTCCACACCATCAAGCAGCAGTAGAAGAGCACAACCCAGAAATCCTTTCCATGTGTAATACTTTACCTGCGTCTTTGTCTGATGCGGATCGAAAGGTTTGCATACCGCTACACCAGCCAAGTTTCCAACTCGAGGAGCCTGCATTCAACCGAAATAAACATAAATTGGGCACTCAAAGAGGTTGGTGTGATAGCTCGTGAAGTTTACAAAGCAAAACACCGGGTAATCAACGATCGTTCATGGGAGGCTCGTATATTTTTCATCATCTGTTTGCTACTATTTCCATGATACAATCTTATACAGATGTCCTTACTAAACTAATCTCAAGCATCGACTTTTGTATTGTAACACTCTGTGGGCGATTGATAAATTTCAAAATGTCAATGGTAGGACAATATTATGAGCGAAACTCTATCCATGAAACTATCGAGCACCGATACATGATGAGTTTAATGATAAAAACTCAAGTGTGATGGCGAATCAGTTGACACGAGACAGCTTTTATATTGATCCATTTCACAGCTTGAGCTACCCTTGAGATTCTTTGATATCGAACTACAGTTCCGATTAAAGAAAAGTATCTACAAGCATGCACGAAGCTTTATATCAACAATAAACTATATATTTCTATGCCAACTAAACAACATTGACAAGTCGCTTTCCATTTAACAAGACCGACATACGTCGCACGGCGCTCAATATTGTAAGAATGAGTTATTGGAAGTGCAAACGAAGGTATCGACTCGACAAGCAAGAATTGTCCCCATTTGGTCTAGACTCTGCACATCGCTATGCAAGATCTTAAGTAGCTAGTTTTTGATAAGTTAGCTAGTTCATCTCCAAGCATACAATGCAACGCCTAAACACCCATGTCCATCCAAAAGGCATAGAATGTCATAAGGAATAATATGGAGGCCAGTATCAAGTTACGAATTCAAAACCAGTAACAGCTTAATGCAGCCAGAAAAATTATTCTGTTCCATTTCCATGTCACCTGGCTCCTCGATTTTGCTGCTCTTGTTATCTTTCGCATGTAACAGTTCAATTCACTTGATGAGCAAAATATTAGGGAACAAAAAGATCATTGAAATGGGTAAAATACAATGCAGTTCTACTTATTGCAATCTCTCAGCTGATGACTTCCTTTTGATCCTTTGTAAATTTACCAATCTCGCCATGCATTTCGATCGTGAACTTTCATGATTCCAGCACTAAAGTAGGAGGAAAGTTCTATCACTCCATCACTCAGCAAAGAAAAGACCTCTCATCCTGCATATTCCTTGAGATTTGGTATCATGAAAAGATACTTCGTTTCTATAAGTAGAATAGACATAACACTCACATTCTATTCATAGTTTCACCTTTTCTTTTGGCAATTATTCCAGCACAACTTTTGTTAAAGGCTGAAGGTACACTATAGGTCCATGTAAAGAACTTTACCATTAGTAAAGGTTGCGGCATCAGTTTCAAAGGCGTCAACTTAGCAGGAACTGTTGACTGACCCTTCCCTATCATGGTAAGAATCTGAGCTGGCTCATCTACCTATCAGGAGCCAAAGATGGCTTGCTCCAACTTGTAGGGAAAGGACCACACAACCAAACAGCTATGTCTCTCAAGCTCATGAAAGAGAAACAAAACAATACCAAAGCAACCACTTTATCCCTTACGCCTTTTCTAGGATGATAAGGATTCGAAATATCGGTAGCATGATGAATCTCGACCCCAGTAGATTTATTAAGGTGATAGGTTATTTTGACCAAAAAAAAAATCATCGCGGGTTGAATAGTTCCCTGATTAGCAATCACCATGCCCTTTGAAACTGATGCCTCAATGCTTTTACAATTGTTAACAGAATGTGACAAGCAATGAGAATTCGAAATTAGTACTAAAATTCTTCCATAGCTATCACTGAACTTAAGAAACTCTTTATCATAGACAAATTAACCTCATCAAGCAATGCAGAGAGAATTCAATGGAAGCTCACTTCAGAAGAAGATGCAGGAAGGGGCAAAAATTGGGTGCACAAAGCTGGATTAATAAAACACATAACACTCCTCTCTTTCCCTTGTAATTTACTTTCTAGTAGTCTTGGTGAAATTTTGAAAAGTAAAAAGCTGATTCACTCTATAGATGAGACGATGCCATAGCTCCTTCTGAGCTGCATTATTTTCTCATTATAAACACACAGGTATCATTTTGAACCATATTATATTGGACAAATTATGTGATGAAAGCCAAATACTTCTTTATTTATAAGATTTGACAAGAGGGGGTTTATGTTGCACCTTCCCACCAGCCTTTTTTTATGTACCCCATTTCTAATTGTGAAGTGGATTAACTAGAGGGGGGTTACTACCATCTCATAAGTACTCTCCCATTATAACTTTCTTCCAACATTTCCCTTTGTCAGCATCACCCCCCACCGCAATTAAGTTTTTTCATCTTCCATTTAAATATTGATGGATAACTAGCTTGCTTGATGCATTCACTTGCCCACACCAACATTTTACCAAAATTAATGATTCTCACTATGAACTTACACACGACACTACTCCGTCCCTGTCAATTTTCATTCATGTGATTTCAGTGCATTTTCCAGGCGTTGTTACGCTAGCTCTTCCCATTTATAAACAATCCCTTGTGAGACATCAATCAGACTATGAGTACCACAGACAATTGGCTTTATCCTGGAAAGGTGAAGCACAAGAACAATGGACAGAATCCTTACAGCTCAGGAGAGAGAAATGAAATGATTCTGTAATGATCAAGTTGTACACTTTCTTTGAATCATCGATAAGGATTTGAAATGCAGTATGATTTATCGAAAAGTATCGCCTTTCACAGGGGTCCTCATCATAATACAGAAGTCACATTCATCAGAAAACCAACTTTGCCACGGCACAGAAGTCACTTTCATCCGAAAACCAACTTTGCCCTGGCCTGTGCCAGGATTCTCGACTGCTGAACATTTTACAAGAAAAATTCTTTACCCTTCCCTATTTGAATACATGAAAATAAGTACCATATGAAGGGTCTAAAAAGCTGGCGACTCAGTAATGTTGAACGAAACAATAAGCAGGTACTAAGCATAAGAAGAGCAAATGTCAAAACACATAGGAGTACATGAAAGAATACCAGTTCATATATAGACAACCGTTGTGAAAAACCCTCTCTCCAAGTACTGTTGAACTATAAGTGAGGAAACCCGTGCTGCAGTTCGATACTTGATCTTGGTGGCTAATGTATCAAAACTTTTATAATGTTGTGCACAAAGAACCATCTATTCAAATCTCTAAATCAATCTTCTCCAGTTGAGCTAGCCACTTGGTTTGGTTATACCGCATCTGATAAGTGCAGGTCCAATCAATCTAAATCATTCTAGATGAAAAAGAAGGAAAAGGTATATGGATTCCATTCATTATAAAATGTTCTTGAATGAATGCATTCAGAATCTAGTCTCAGTCACGAAGAACCCATGGCAAAATAGAACATAGCTTTTAGACTAGCGAAATGGCGAACCAATCAGTCTCCAAGTAGCAATCTGATGGCCGCCCGCCACCAACAATGATAGGATGGCCTTAAAGTATTGAACGAGAAAGGAGGATGTCGAAGGATCTTTACTGGGCAACGGACGTGGATGATAAGCGTTCTAGCACAAGCATTTATCCAAAAGGCTTGCTCCTCTATCCTAAAAGTTGCAGGTGTTACTTTTGACAATGTCAACCTCTATCCTAAAAGTTGCAGGTGTTACTTTCAACACTGTCAAACAGAGGAAGCGGTAGCAAGAGAGTTCATAGGCTCATGTAAATGATTGGCTATGACCGTTATCTCAGCGAAACTTGATTTCCAAGTGATAATATTTTCTTTTCAACGAATTCTCAATAACAACCAAGAACTGATTGAGGAACAACTCTCTTCTCTTGTGAGAATCAAATCATCAAACTGTTTATATTAAATGCTTGCAAGAAAGTACACAAAATACGCGAATATCAAAATTTTCTTACTCCAACTGTTAATATTGCATTTTTCCGTGGCCTGGGGTTTACCTATGGCTTGGCCATCATAAAAAAAATATTGTAGTTCTTTTTTTCCAAGCATTAGTATTGATTTGTTTTTCCGTTTTCCTTGATCCTTCTTTGTTTCAGCTTGATCTCAATCGATCATTGCAATTAACACAGCAATAGACAATATTTTGGACATAGGAAGCAATCGCAGAGCTTGTGACTCGATTTCCTCACAAATCCTCATCCACAATCATACTAATGGAGAGCAGACTCAATCAAAACCTAATCGATGCTCATCGTTCACAAAATATGAACAGCTATGAATGCGATTCGATCTGCATAACCATGGAGCTAGCTAAACAGCGATGCTGGTATAAATCGAGTCAAATTTCGAAAAAGATCGATCCAAAACAGCCCAGATAATACAAAGCAAAGATAGACCTTCTACTTTTAATAGATCTTAATTATCTTTTTCCATCTTCAATCACTTTTTGTGACTTGTGTATTTTACCAAATATTAATCTTCAATCACTTTCTTCAATTTAAAGGTATATTATGTTAATCTGATCCAAGTGTTATACATATCTCCGTAAGGTAACTTAATGTGATCCACTTGTCACAACTCTAGTATTTTCTGGATACTATTTCAAGTTGGTGACATAAAGCAATGTGATGATTATTGGGGGAAGCCCTCATCCATCTAGATATAGATAGAATCTATGTATTTAGATAATGCTCTCTTGATAGTAGAAAGCATTGATATGTATTGACGTGAATTTAGGAGATTGGGTCGATCCTAGACCTGTGATTCTCTATCAATCTAAGGTTTTTCTAAAGTTCCATAAGATATAGATTCGAATACCACATTAGGAGTTAATTATGTGCTCGCGCTTATCCAATTGAAGTATGTCACTCTTGGATTCTGTGGCTAAAGTATGTTTATTCAGCCGCGTATTTATGAGTAATTTATACTTCGCTTAAACTGACTTGATTGTATCCTTATATCATCGATCCAATCAGGGACGTCTCCGAATTTACGTACATACAAGTATTCTAAATAAAACATGCGAGTATTTGGTTAAATTACAACTCATTTTACACTTAGTTTACAACTTGTGATGTGTTGGAATTAGCAAAGAAGAAGACCTTGTCGAGGGGTCAAACCTCATGTGGCCGCGAAGCCCGATGTCAAGAAAACCCTATTCGAGCTATGTCCAAGTATGGAAACCACCATGAATCCTGGAAAAGTTCAATGTAGTTCTGTGGCTTAGAATCGAAGATCACGCACAGCATGTTCTTACGTTTGAAAAAAAAGAGGGCACAAGTTTCGGTTAAAAAAGAGTTGATAAGAACTAAAACGAATCTGCATTCACTTCGAGAATTCCGATAACAGACCCTTGATTAATGGTAACCGACGCGTTATTATATCTTAGCCCTAACTCCAGATCAGGAAGAGAGAGAGAGAGAGAGAGAGAGAGAGAGAGAGAGAGGGAGAGAGGGCCGAGACTGTGGTGAGCATGCATGCAAGAGATAATAATGAAAATGGTGCAACGTCAGAGAGTTTACTTCTTCTGAATAAAGCGAGAAAAAGAAATCAATAATAATATACTTTTGTCGGTTAACAAGGAGATTTTCTTGGAGTTCAAACCTAATCCTCAAAACCCAATGACGCAGAATTATTATCTGCAGGGCTAAGCGAAAACCACGTAGGTTTTGACGAGAAGAAGTCCCGCTGTTTTGCAATGAAGAAGGAAACTAACCTGATGAATGCATGAGCGTGTCATGTAGGGTTTTAACTCAGCCGTCACGTGGATTTGCTCGTGCTTAACAGATCTGCTGGCGCTGTTGAATTTGAATTCTCTCGCTAAGCAGTCGTGAGAAAAAGGGAAAATTTTCATCATAGTTGCTGTCAAGCGACATGTGTGGAGATCCAATGCAGATAATGACTAATTATTTCGATATTCATTACTCATTTACTCTTTTTGATTTGGAATTTCCAGTGGATGTGATGTTTCTTGATTCCTCTATAACAAAGTTACCTTTTCAATAGAGGTGTTTTTTTGGAAATTTTCTTTTTTGTCCTTTTGAGCCTCTATCTTTCTCTCTATACACTAGTATATAAAGGCAAGCAACGCACCTGCAGTAGCAACACCATCTGTTCACTTCTACACATACCATTCCCATTCTGTCCATCCTTCGCTAGCTAGAGCTTCAACTCATAAACCTCTCTTTCCACCACCCCCCCAAAAAAAAAAAGAGAGATAAGAGATGACTTCAGGCTCAACATGGACGGCGAAGCAAAACAAGCTGTTCGAGAATGCGCTGGCGATGCACGACAAGGACACGCCCGACCGCTGGCAAAATCTGGCGAGAGCAGTTGGTGGAAACAAGAGCGCGGAGGACGTGAAGAGGCACTACGAGATGCTCGTTGAAGATGTGAACCAGATCGAGTCCGGGCAGATCCCCTTGCCGAATTACCGAAAACTCGGAGGACCAAACAGCAAGGGGTGCAGTTCCATAATGGAGGAAGAGCAAAGGTATGTACACGAAAACATATTTTAGGGTTATTCCGCAAATTAACAGTTTTTATTTCTACTATCTGCAAAGCACACATGGTATCATGAAGACGTTTTATATTGAATTATATACTCTGTTCTTTTGGTTTTGGTCTTCTTCCTTTTCAATCCAGTGATGTATGTATGCTTATGAAATTTAATTAGTGGATATTATTTTAGCCAGATATCTTCATGACTTGTGAAAGGTTTTATCTATTGGCAATTGAATGTAGTAGTAATCCATAGAGTGGATTAGAATCAGAGGACTGTGTTGTCTTCAAACTTTTTTTTGGTTGTAAAGTTGGAGTGTGCTCGAAAGTGGGTGCGTTTATTTCGGGAAAGATAAACTATTAAAAAAATATATTCATTAAAATTATTACTTATACTACTTACAAATATTTATCACAAATATTTTCATAATCAACGAAAATAGTCATGTGTAGATTTGTTGATAACGAAGAAAAAAATTGATTGGTCTTTTTGAAAGAAAGAACAAACAATATTATTAGGAAAATATTATTTAAATTGATCATTCACTCTCCACGAAACAAAAAAAGCGGAGTTTAATTTCATTATATCTGGCAATATATTTTCTCACTATTCTATTATTCTCCAGGTTGAAGAGCCTGAGGATCCAGTGAAGTATTATGGAAAAGCCGGCTGATATTTTGGGATGGAATAAAGTTCAGATGATGATCCAGCAAAGAAAAGAAATGCAGAATATTTTTTTTTCCTTTTGTATTTTCATCTGTGTAATTCCCATTTATTAAAAGAAAAGACCTGGTACTTCTTTGAGTGTCATGTTGCAACTTATAATCAAGAAAAATGTCGTTAGTTACATCCACAACTCATTTTGAGTTCTCACAGCCTATGAACTATACTATGTTCAAATATCAAAATGCCCCCTTTTATCGTTTAGAGAGAAAATTTGAAATTTGGATAAAAAGTGTGATTCAAAAGTGTGATTTAAAAAGTATTTAGGATCCATTTGTTTCACTGAAATCTCATTGTTGCTAAAAATGTTTTTCCAGTAAATTATTTCCTGAAAAATGAATTATTTTCTTGCGTATGAATCTGTTAGCAGTTTGAGAAAATGTTTTGCGGTATTTATTGAAGATCAAAATAGCTAGCGAAATAATATATAAAGTGAAGACAAACACTTTTATGGATCCTTATAGAAACCGCAAGCCAAAATGAGTCATATTCGTTCATAATATAAATCAATGAATTAAAAACAAATTTATGAAAATAATTTAACTCGGATAGGAATTTGTTTTCTGTTCTGAAGATCAAAATAGGAAAAGCGAAAGAAAAGATAAAAAATTATGGAGTTATTTTGAATATCAAGAAATGATTTCAAAAGCAAAGATAGAAAATTATGGAATTATGATAACTGTTAGAGAAGACGGGGGCTACTTGTGCAGTTGTGCTGTATTGGTAGCATGATAATATTGAGGGTATCCTCACGAAAAATCATTTCTCTTTTTCACCGAAGGGAAATTCACATTTTTAGATTTTAGCTCGAGAGTATCCCTCAACAAAAAAAGGTTTTCTATTGACCGATTCATTTTCCCGTGTTGAAACAAATAAAATTCTGAAAGCGTTTTTCTAAAAATAGCTTTACCTGAAACGAACACATCCTGCCAGTTTCTTTTATTATCTTGAATTTTTGTTTTAAAAAAAGGACAGGATGGATCCATAGCTTTTTTCTTTGTTTGGACAATAGATATTTGTTGTGGGCTAGAACAACAAAATAGCATTTGCCGGATCAATGATAGCCCTTAAGGAAACTCGATTACAAATAACTGCAATGTCCACGATTACATTATATTATCACTTAAACTTGGTCATGTTATTGCTACAATGATAGCAAACAAGAAACACAACAAATCCTAAACCTTATATACAAAATGCAGTTGACTCCTAAATTTTTCATTTAGTTTAATCAAGTCCCAAATCTTTACTAAAAAATGCAATTTGTTTCAACTTCAAATGAAAAGTGGGCTCTAAGGATATCACATAGGTAATTTTTAAGTGACATTCGAAAACTTTAAGTATTGTTCATTAAAAAGACTTCATTGCATCTTTTAAAAAAGGTTTAGGATTTAATTGAACCAACTAAAAGATTTAAGAATGACTTTCCATGAACTTTTCCCTACAATTATATGTAGCATTAAAATTTGCTAGTCCTATTTGTTATGTTCATAGTTGAAGAGTTAAAAGGAACTTAAGGGCATTTGGTGCGATGTATTGGAGAAAATATCTCTCAAAAAGCTGAGCAATTGCTCTAAATTATATCAAGATCAGTCAAGCAATTCTTGTACTCCTGGCAAGTGCAGCCAGAGTTTTCAAAGTTGACAAAGTTATTTTATTCTTCTTTATAAAGAGGATTTTATCTTTCCATGTATAGTAATCGTAGCTCAAGTAAGTTATTTCAGTGTATTTATTTTAGCTAATGTCTTTTCATAAACCATTAACTACCTTGTACTTTAAATACACGTGCGAAATAACAAGAAAGTGTATCTTGTCAAATTCCTATGACATCAGAGCATACCGCTCACAAGCATATTGCTCAATTTTTTTTTCCAATGGCAGATAAAACAAATTAGAATTTTCTTTGGAAGCTCAAAGATATAAGAAGATGTTTTTATAGGCCAAGGGAAATGAATCTACAAACCAAGGTTAACAGCAGAGCGGCGCTTTTTCCACTTCTCATTTGGCTTATGCACTCCCATTTTTTGTGTTTTGACTATACTATTCCTTGTGAGGCCCACAACTTATGGTAAACTCTACAAAGTGATTCTTTTATTACTATTTGGTCAAACTCTTTTTATTTTGTTTCTTATTTTTTTCTTTGCGGGTCCCACTTTTCTTTTTCTTCTTTCTTTCCACGCCTTTGACATCTCGATTCTCGGCTCTTACAAATCATCTCTGTGTTTTCTCTCTTACATGTCATTCTCTTCTTTCTATGCCCACCATTCTTTCTTCTTCTTCTACCACAAATCTCTTTTGCATCTACAATCACCAAAAGAACTGCTTACTTTAACAATCCGCTCCCTTCTTGCCCTCCTCATTCGCTATTGAAGGTACAATTCTGGCCAAAGCTTGTTTTTATTCTAGTTTTCTTGGTCTCGAATCCTGCGCATTTTAGTCGCTATTGAGTGTTTCGTGATATCTTTTGTTAAAAGTGAATTTGAGTTTTGGGTCATGTAAATACTTGATATTGTGGTTCAATCTTGTTTTTAGAGTGTATCGTGCATCAAAACAGCATTTGTGAATTAATTGTGTAGTTGCTTTGTAGTTTGTAGCATATATAGACTTTTGCTCTCCTTGGGTTTAGTTTCTTACTATGATTTCCATAAGTTGTTCATCATCCGTTTTGGGATGCTGTTGTTGCTTCTCATTAATTGACTTGTCGAAAATGTTTAATCTGGTTGTTTAATCTCAGGGGGAATTGAGTAATCTATTTTCTTTGACACAATGGAGTCCAAATTCTTTCTTTCTCAAGATTGTAGGTGTTGGGTTTAAGTCTAGAGTGGAGGCTAAAAAATGCCTATTGTACCTAAAATTAGGCTACGGTGTCTTTTTTTTAAGAACAAATGCGATCTGCTATATCGGAATCGACAACAATATGGTCTACTGTTCCGGCGCCTGCGTGCAGTAGAGAAAAGGGCTCGTTGGTGAGGTCACTAGTGAGCATTGGGGATTGGCATCATAAATAGAAAATAAAGGACGACGAGTTTGGGGAAGAAGAAGAAGAAATAAAGAAAGAAGAGAATGACATGTAAGAGAGAAAATAAAGAGACCGATTTGCAAGAGTGGTGATAACTCTATAAAAATAGAGTTATTTTATCTACTTTAAACAATAAATAATGCAATATTTGTTAGAATATATTTGGATTTCATTTTATTTACTTAATTTTTCCTTATTTATGCAGAATATTGAGATATGGAGAAAATAAGGAAAATATGACAAAAAGAAAGAAAGAAATATGCTACCCAGAGAAGAGTTAGAAGCTGGCTATTATATCGGGAATTCTGCGATTTATTCCCTAATATTATGCGAAAAGAAGCAATTGCCCTGTGATAGGAGTCTTGGAATAACTTGGAGGACAGCTAGTTTTCTAAGAGATCGTAAATTTTATTGTGTTGGGAGTTTTTCAAGTATTTTGAAGAGAAGACAAAAGTGGTGACAAAATTCTTCTCCTTTGATTCAAGATGTTTGGTTTAATTTATATTTTCGTTTCTTCTTCTATTATGTTCTAATTTTCTTTGTTAGAGTTACGTTGTAGCATAACCATGATGATATGAATTTCATACTTTTTATGTTTTGCAAGTGATTTTATTCATGTGAGTTATATATTAATGTGTTTAATGCCTTTAAGTGACTGGCCATCACTTGAATGATCTGATGTGCATGTTTGAGACTAAGAAGTGATAATATGCAATTGCTCCTTATAATGTATAACTATGAATTAAATGTGGATAGAAATATACCATGTTATTTGTGTAGCTTGCGGTGATAAGATGGTCCAAAAGATTCATTGTAAACCTGGAATATTTACGGATTTTATGCACTTATGTTAATTTAAATTTACATATAGATGTAGTGAACTGACAAACTGAGTGGGTTTGTTATACCTAGAGATAGGATAGTAAATAGACTAGGAAATTCCACTATCAAATGTTTGATATGTTTTTGTATCCATAATGATTTGAAATTTATATCTAGTGGTTACGGTGAAATCGGATGCTGTAACATATTTTATCTGATTGATTATCTGCCTTTAGTTTCTAAAATTTCGTTTCTAAAATTGTCAATTTTTTATTTATTATCAATTTTATTTTGATCTGTTAGATAAATTTTAGAATTAGTTTATTTTTAATATTTAATTGGTTTATTAATTATCAATCTCTATTGGACGATACTCTTCCCATCATTATATTACTTGTTCAACACGTTCGTTGACACGTGCAAAATTTTACGAACAAGCGGAGAACTCAAAAGTCAAAGGCGTGGAAAGAATGAAAGAAGAAGGAAAGTGGGACCCAAAGGGAAAAAAAAGAAACAAAATAAAAAAAGTTGACCAAATAACATAAAAATAAATCACTTTTGCATAGTTATATTAGAAGTGGTGGGCCCCACAAGCGATACTATGGTCAAAACATAAGAAAAAGGAGTGTCTAAGCCAAAGGAGGAGTGGAAAAAGTACGACCCTAAAAGTAATGATAGCTTTAGGTTAAACTCACTCTATGTAAAGAGTCGAATGGTACTTCAATCTAAAGAATACAAGTGACCTAATATGAGTTAGGGGTGTCAAAAAGACCCACGCCGGCCCGGCCCGACCCTCACTGGCTCGGCCCGACCCTAAAATTTGGGGTATTTTGGGGCGGGTCTTTATTTTCTTGGAATAAGGCCCTAAAATTTGGGGTATCAAAGGGTTGGGGTTAGATGGGCCGACCCATTGACACTCTGAGCCGACCCATCTCCCTCTCTCAGTCTCTCTCCCATTCTCTCTCCCCTTTTCTGTGTGCAGAGCATGATGAAAAAACCCTAGATCTAAGCCAGCTGATCAGCGACGAAATCGATTCGCCTCCATCGCCGTTCGCTTTCCTTCAAGTTTCTTCTGCAAGCCTCCGCCGTGAAGCCGCCGCATCTGCGCTTCTTGCTCCATGCCCGTTGGGGGTGGTGAGTTCCGATTTTTCCCGGGTCATAAATTCTTCAGTCCCTTTCCTTATCTGTTGATTTCCACTCGCTCTCCAGCAAAGCGTTGATTCACCGATGCTGCTCGTGCATATGG